TCCCAGGGGGGCGGCCAGGGTAGCTCCCGGGGCTCTTCAGCGGCGGCAGGGAGGCTTGCTCGGCAAAGGCGGGTTGGGAGGCTCTCCCAAGGGAGCGGAAGGACGCCGCGTTCTTGGGCGTGAGTGGACGGGGGCAGAGACCAAAGGAGAAACTCCCGCAGGAAACAGGGACTAGGAAGGGCTGGAATGTAGGCGCTGGGGAGGCCTTCAATGGCCTTTCCCGGCGCCTTCCAGGATTCTGTGAAATGAAGCAGGGAGGCTGTGGAATAGAGAAGGAGCCCGATTGAAATGGATTCGGAAGCCTCTGTTTAGTTATGGAAGGGTAGCAGCGGTAGAGTAGCGTTAACAGTTAGGCTGTGTCCAGACTCAGGGGTTTTATCGAAAAAAGTAGCCTTTTTTTGAAAAAACATCACCTGCGTCTAGACTGCAGCCGCGTTCTTTAGAAATTAAATCGAAAGAACGCGGCTTTTCTTTCGACGGCGGTAAACCTCATTTCACGAGGAAGAACGCCTTTTTTCGAAAGTGCTCTTTCGAAAAAAGGCGTTCTTGAATGCAAACGGGTTTTTCGAAAGAGAGCATCCAGGCTGCCTGGGTGCTCTCTTTGGAAAAAGCGGCTTGCTTTTTCGAAAGTTCCGCTTGCAATCTAGACGCTCTTTTTCGAAAGAGGCTTTTTCGAAAGTATCATTCGAAAAAGCCTCTTTCGAAAGAGGCTTGCAGTCTAGACATAGCCTTACAGACAAGGGAAAAACGTCAATGTATCCTTATATTATGTGAAAACATTACATCTAAAGATGTAGGGTAGCTGAGTAATCCTGGCAAGAGCTGCAGAGAAACCAACACTTGTTCCAACGGTAAACTGCATGGTTGGGACATAGAGCGAAGAGAGAACTTTCTGGGAAGTAGGATTAGGCAGTGTGTAATTTAGGCTGGAGAGAAAGAAGCAGAGTCATTATATTTGATCTTGATATTGTTTGAATTTAGGGGTCCCTCGGGAGCCCTCTGCTCCATCCTAGAAGTAATTGCTGGTGAGTTTATATATCAGGGCTTTATGATATGTTATTTTATTTCCCTTTACACTGAAGAATATAAGGTATCCAGGTGTGTACTCTCCATTGGTCTACTAGATTCTGACAACAATATATTCCACGCTTTATGCATTGTCTCTTTGGTGTCTTAAGATTTTGGGCCAAGTTTTCATTAACTTTTTTCCCATAGATCAGTTTCCTTGTCCTAGTAATAACATCTGCAAAAGTTCTGCCTTAACCTTATACATTCCTTATGGCTGCTAATGTGAGCATTCCCTGGGGCCTTCACAGAATGTAAGGTGTACCTAGTACATCCGAAAATGTGAACATATCCCCCACTTTGCTTCCAGCCCATGCCACTACAAAAAAGCATGTTCTCAAAATTATTTCCATGAGTTAGTGTTTTGCCTGTTAAACTATTACATTTGTTGGACTTTGTCTTATTTTTAAACACAATCCCCAACTTGTTATAATTTTAGCAGAGGCCAGTTTACAGATAGCAGTGGATGTTCAACATCCTTATATTCTTTTTAATGTGATGGGACCAAGCAGACCAGCCACAATCTATGATCCATTTGCATCCAGAACCCAAGCAGAAAAGAATGAAGTGAGGCATCTTCAGACACAGGTATTATTTGATTTCTGCTCGTGATGAGTTCTCAGTGTTGCTATTCTGTTTTGTTAAGCTTATCATTTAATCTGCTTCCTGACACTGGTTCTGTGCACAGTTGTAGTGTCAAGTTTGCCTGCCTACTTTCATGTGTCACCAACATCCATTGGCATATTTACCCTTCCTTTATAAAGTGCTTTGAGCTCTAAAGATAAAAATGTGTAAATGTAATATCTGTCTTTATCCTTTCCTTCTCGCCTGTGACTATTTTGCTTTTATGTTTTAAATATTTATTATGACATTGTGCAGTGCTAAAACTCTTTGAGCTACATGTTGAAAATGGGAATTAGGCATTTAAATGCTTTTGAAAACCCCACTAAGCATCTGCTCCACCTAACAACCTTTAAAAATCTGGCCCAGTGAAGTGGAAGGATGCTGTAAGACTAAAATGACTATTACCTGTATAGTGATATGCAGGGCTCGCCAAGTGGTGGCAAGCCTCGCTCGCCAGCCATGCGGAAGCGCACGCTGTGCATACTGCGCTGCGCGGCCCCACCGGCTTAAAATCTATTCGCCACGGGCGAGTGGATTGAATCATTTGTCGAGCCCTGGTGATATAATAAATTGTAATGTGAAGGGAGTTACATTTGTCATTATTTTATGTTCAAGGTGCCTCATCTGTGCAATATGCTATATAATATGGACTTTTTGTTTTAATCTGTGGAACAGCTCCAGTTTAATAGAAATGTTCCTGTAGCTCCAGAGAACTTGGCTGTCAGATTCTCCAGCCCTTGTCCTATTATAATAGAAAAACTGAAGCCACCTGATGGCCAGAGAAATCTAGGTGGTGGTGATGATGCCAATTTAAGAAGTTCTGTCACATTTTCGGTCATATCTGAAGACAAACTGAAACTGGCCATCCAACTAGCCAAAAGGGATGTAAAAAGAAGACACTTAGAAGAGCAGGTGAAAGAAGCAGAGAATAAATCAGTGTTCCTCCAGACATCTGAGCAATGTAAGAATGAAGCATCTGAAAATCCTGAAGAAAGGAGTGTATCAAAATCTAGGACATACTTGAAATATCATCAGCAACATGGTCAACCTTCCAAAATGGAGACTACTAACTCTGGTGCAAAAATGTATCTCTACACAGCAACTCAGGGCAAGTTAAAGCCACCTGTTTCAGATTCTCCACCTACCCATGACCCAGGACCAGGGCCCAAGCCAAGCCTGAAAAAAAGTGAAGATAAAAGTACACAGGAAGTCAGACGACTACAAAAAGAACTGAGACATTGCATCCAGAAAATTGAAGAACTGACTAAAAAAGGTGAAAGACACAACAATTATTTTTATGTAGCGTTACTATCAGGGGCAGATGATAGTGCCGCGGGGCCCCCGCCTTTGACATGGTGCATGTGCTGTGGTGCCCCGGCACATGCGTGGGGCTTCTGCAAGCGCGGGGCCCGGGGCAGCCGCCCCGCTCGCCCTGCCCCAAATCCGCCACTGGATAATGCATCTCCTGGGAGGGATGTAGCCAGATCAGGTCACAGCAAGCCCATTATTTTGAAATACATTCAAAATAACAGGCTTCTTGCTCCAACTTCTGTAAACTTAATTCTATGAGGAGTAAGGAGAGTCAGAGGAAGAGTGCTCTATTTCCTATTAAGTGCTGTGTAGATGTGCCCAAATTTGAAATAACCTATTTTGACTTAAGCTATGCAATTAGCATAGCTCAAATTGCATAGCTTATTTTGAATATAGCCCTGCCGCATAAACATATCCTAGAAGAATTCTCCCATCCACTTAGTACCATACAGAGCAGAAGTTAGGTCAATTTAATGCCTCATTCAGGGGTATGGATTATTTACATGTGTGTGTGTGATATAGTGGTGACAACCTGATTTGCTTGTGTAGATCAGGCCTTAAACAGGATCAGGCCTTCCAACAGTTACCCCAGGGCCAAACGATGCAAAAGGACCTTGGGTTCCCAGTTACCACAGCTGCTACTGCAGGAGTAGCAGGGGCCAGAGCCTCACACCCTTTACATCACTGCTGGAGCATCATGCAGTACACTCTAGACAGCTCTAAAAGCTGGTAGGAGCGGGGGAGCTGCAGCACGCTGCGGGCAGTGCAATAGGATGGCTGCCTCCACCTTCCTACATCATCTACTATTCTCTAGCTACATCATGCTGACTATTTCAATCCCTCACATCCAATTGGAAAAGCCATCAAATTTGTGTCTCAAGATCCATAGTTGGCTCTACTTTTTCTGGTCCAGATCAAATTGTACATGAAAATGGCCAATGTTAGTTCTCATGAGGACTGTCAACACCTCGGTTGTGGAGCCAGGATAACAGGCTGCATTCTTATGACAACATACGGAAGTTAGAGCCCAAGTTTTGCTTCTCTGTTCTTCTCTCCATTTTTAGTCTTGGACTAGAAGCTGTGCTTATTTCTGTGTGTGTGTGTGTGTACACATTTTCAAAGATTTTTTTTTTCTTTTTCTTAAGACAAATGGATTTGTCATTCAGGGTATTAGGAAGGTAGTATGTAGTATAGCTTCAAATCCAAGCCGTATTGATAGTTAAAAAAAAAGAAAAAAACCCTTGCCATTTAATTGCGTGTGTGAAATGCACTGGTGATGTTTTTAGCCTTGTTCCCTTTAAATAGATCTTCAGATTACAAAAATCAGCATCACAGTTAGAACCTTTATTAGCAGTTACTGGAACGAGACCAATGGTGGTTGGAACTCTTGCTTGTTGGAAGGGATTCACTTATATCAGGGTTGAGGAACTTGGGCAGTGGAGTGATTAATTATTTTTTTTAGGTTTGGTGCTATATTGACACTTTTATAATCTTTAGCAATATGTTTAAAGACTTTCCTTACAGTACTGCCATAACTGTGATTTGATTTGGGAGATCATAATAATGCTGGCAAGATTTACTTGATCAATATTGGATAAGTATATGTAAAAACATCCTAAGATTATACAGAATATGTAGATAAAATCATAGTTCAAGATAATGCCTTGACAAAGTCAGGATACATTGTGAATTTATTCTACATGAATGAAGCTTCCTTGGTAGGTAAAGTTCACACATTTACTTTAAATCAGCATTTTCTCAGATTAATCGGGTTGCCAAGACCTATATCTCTGTGTTTTGCAAAAATAACACTTTTCAGAGAGATGCGAAGAAATCTTGGATCCTGATGAAGAGCGACGAGTCTGCATTAGGAGGCAGGAGCAAGCTGCACGGTCTGCTCGGATGCTGTATGTCCTCCAGCAACAGGTATTAACAGATAATGTTTTAAAAGGAAGAATATAAAATATTGTGTATTCTGTATGCAAAGAACTGGACTGACACAAAAGCCTTTGAAATTCAGGGAAGTTCTAATTTGGATCTGAATTTCATGGCTGGGCCATACCATTGTAATGGGATTAACCAAAATGCCATTGGAAAATTGAGATCTGGACCTAGATTTACAGAACAGGCCTATCTTTAATGTATACACACATATAGCTGGTTCTGACTGTGATTTTGTTTTCTGAATAAACAGGTAAAAGAAATCCAGGAAGACTTGCAGAAGCTGAGTCCTCTTAAAATCAAACACACTAAGAAGGTAAGATGTATTGAACTTGGATCATATTTTTCTGAAAACAAATGTTTGGAATCTTGAAAGATCTTTTGGTTAATGCAGTTTCTAGGTAACGGTTACAAAGCCTCCTTAATTATAACGGTATTGGAGAGGTATTTTCAGACTTCATATGTCACAACGTCCATTTTGGATTTAACTCAGCTGCTTTAGTTTAGGCTAGCATAATATTTGGCATATTGACAGTATAACATCGATTAATAAAAAAGCTACAGGCGGCTGTTTTAATTAATGCAAGTCAGCCTGTGTTTTTGGAAAATATGTTCTGTCAGACTAACTTGATTATTTTCAATGAGATTTCAAGCTTGGTTGATAAAGGTAATAGTGTTGACATAATATAAATAATATACTTAGACTTCTATAAGGCATTTTGACTTGTTGCCACATGACATTTTGATTAAAAAAAATACAATGATATGGTATGCTATGTTTGTCCCAGGATATTAAAAAGACAGGGCGAGTGAGGTAGTATCTTTTTTGGAACTCTGTGTAAGCTCAAAAGCTTGCCACTCTCACTAACAGAAGTTGAGTCAATAAAAGATATTACATCAGCCACCTTTTATCTCTAATAAAATTAACTTGGCAGACATTAAATGGGTTAATTGGCTGACAGATCTAAAAATGTAACTAAAACAGGAAACATTCTTGAATAGATCTGTCTCGAGTAGGGTCCTGCAGGGATCAGTTCTTGGCCTTATGCTATTTAATATTTTCATCGATGATTTAGAAAATCATCACTGCTAAAGTTTGCAGATGAGACAAAAAATTTGGAAACTAGTTAATAAGAATGAGGATGGGCCACTGATTCAGAGTAATCTGGATTGCTCAGTTTACTGAGCAAACACACTATATGCATTAATGCAGCTAAATGTAAATGTATAATTTATGAGCAAAGAATATAGGCCCAGACTTACAGGCTGGGAGACTTTATCCTGGGAAGCAGTGACTCTGGAAAATATTTTGTTGTCACAGTGAATAATCAGTAGAACCATGCGCTCCCAGTGTGATATTATGGACAAAAGAGCTAATGAGATCCCAGGGTACATAAACAGAGGAGCCTGGGGCTGGAGTACAGAGGTGTTTTTACCTTTTCATTTGGCACTGGTGGGACTGCTCTGGAATACTGTACCTGGTTTTGGTGTCCACAATTCAAGAAGGATGTTGATAAATTGGAGAGAGTTCAGAAAAGAGCCACAAGAAATTTTTTTAAAAGATTAGAAAACATCCCCTTTTATAGTGATAGAATCAAGGAGCACAATTTATTTAGTTAAACAAAGAGAAGATTAAGGACTGACTGGATTACGCTGTATCAGTATATACTTGAGGAACAAATTAGATAATGGGCTTCTCAATCTAGCAGAGAAATTCAATTGTCTAAAAGCTGAAGCTAGACAAATTCAGACTGGAAATAAGACATACATTTGTAACGGTAAGAGTTACTAATCATTGGCACAGTGTTGTGTGGTGTGGTGGTCGAATCTCACTGACAAATTTTAAATCAAAATTGGCTGTTTTTCTAAATGATTTGTTTTAGGAATTATATGAGGGAAGTTCTCTGGTATTTGTTATACAGGTGCTCAGACTTTATGATCACAGTGGTTCCTTATGGCATTGGTTCCCAACCTCTGGTCTGTGGACCAGTGCCGGGCCACAAACTGCTGGCTGCCAGGCTGGAGTGGCTCTGGGGGCTGGGACTGGGGTACACCGCCCAGTGTGTATCTTGCCCCAACCAGTGCCTGGCAGGGGTGGGATCTCCTCCTGGATATGGAAGAGTGGTTTGCTGCACAGAGCCCTGCATGACATCCTTAGAGCAGCTGTGACCCAGGCAGCAGTGCTCAGCTGGTGGCTGGGAGGCAGTGCAGGGCTAGGTGAGGGGAGCAGAACAGGTACTGGGAGCTCCAGGGACAGGGCTAGTGTCTAAGGGGTGGGGGGGCTCTAAGAGGCAGGAGCTGGCACTGGGGTGTCCAGTGTGGGGAGCTGGCACTGGAGGGGCCTGGGGACAGGGCTAGTAGTTGGGGGCTCTGGAGATGGGGCTAATATTGGAGACTGGGGGCTAGCACTGGAGAGGTTGGGGGGGTTGAGTGCAATGGGGCTCTAGAAACAGGAGGCTGGCACTGGGGGCTCTGGTGGTGGGCAGCTCTAAGGGGCAGAGGGTTTGCACTGAGGCATTTGGGATGCAGGGTTAGCACGTGGGGTTGAGTGCAGCGGACTCTTGGGTCAGTGGCTGGTGCTAGGGCATAGTAGGCGGTGGGGGGGGATCTAGGGATTAAGGTTGGCACTAGGGAGTCAGGGGCTGGGGTGTACCCCAGTCCCAGCCCCCAGAGCCACCACGAACAGCCAGCTTCAGCTGTGGCAGGCCCCTGCCCCCTGACTGCTGGAGCTGAAGCCAGGTGTTTGCAGCAGCTCTGGGGGCCAGGGCTTTTGGCAGACTGGTAACATTTTATTTGTATATTTGCATGTTCATTGTTTGCATAAAAATGTTACCAGTCCACCAAAGGTTTGTGAATGGGTTTGCTGGTCTGCGGTATAAAAAAGGATGGGAACCGCTGCCTTATGGCCTTAGAATCTACAGTATTATCCTTTTCTGTACTGCTTAAGCAGCTCCCAAATTTCATCACAAGGGGAAATATGTCTCTATCACAATTAACAGAGAACAAAATATAGTTACTTAAATGACCAGTGAAATTCTTCTTATGATTCTCTGAATAACATCATCACTTGAAAAGTGCTGGATATTTAGGCACTTGTGTCTTTCCTTTGTGCCACAGTCTCGAGCGATGTCCAGAGTAGCAGCTGCCCACAGAGGAGCCATTCGTGCCTTGCAGGTGTTTGCAACTCAATTTACTGATCATTCAGAGTATCAGATTCCTGCTCATTATAAGGAGTTAGGCAATCTCATTCGACAACTGTCTCTCTGTTCTGCAAAATTAGAAATGGATTCTTCTGTTCCTGATATCATCACAGACATTCTGCTACAAATTGAGGTGTGGAAAGTACTTACTTTTTCTTCAAGCTGATGTAGAAGAGACTGGGTGAAACATTTAAGTTCTGGATGCAAACTGTCACACACGGGGGATAAAATATTACTAGTAAAAATATGCCTTAAGTGCAACAGTTATTGGGGTGTGTGGCTGTATGGTTTTCAGATGTTGCTATAATGGTTGTAGTATAAGAACTTAGCTAGGAGGTAAAGATATAGGTGCATATTTTACTTCATCACGATGATCCATAATCACTTTGATTGGAAATGCTTCTTCCATATATATGATTATCAAGAGGAAGCTCACTGGGTTGTGTGTATGATGGGAAAAGAGCATCTCTAATTTTTTTAAAATACTTATTTTTTAAAACACTTATTTATTTCTGTTGATACAATACAGAAGCTTTCAGAATTAGCATTACTGTTCTAACCTTTAACCCAAAGTGTTTTTTTTTAAATTGATCAAGATTCTGTAGGCCATATAAAAAAGTGGATTTGTTGTTACCTATTTTAGCTGTTGAACAATTGACACTGCAGCCATGAGAGATTTTTAGAAAATATCTTAATCGCCTGAAAGTATTCTCCTGATTACAATGGGTGTAATTTTAGTGTTCGTGAAAACTGCTGGCTTGACCTCCCAGGAGCTTTTGTTCTCTCTTCTTGAGCAATAAGATGGACACAGCATGTCAGCAGAAGTACAAGCTTCCCCTGTGCACTGTTCCCACAAATGGCCCTAGAAGGTTTATCTGTAGTATTGAGAGTAATTCAGTCTCCATCGCCCATTCATTACTTGCCAACAAAGGTTATTAATGCCAATTATGTGGTTGCATTTTTGGAATATAAACTGCTATACATGTGGACTAACCATCGAATATTGAGTAGTTGTCCTAAGATGTATCTGGGCACATTTTATAAACCTTTTTAGGACTTGTCTGCTTTTTAAAACCTGATAAAATAATTTTTGTTGTGCAAACGAAATGTAATAAATATTTGAATAATAAACTAAATGTTGTTTGAAAACTCACTTTAGTCATTATAAATAACTATGTAAATTATACTGGCATTTTCATGTATGATTGTTAAGTTACTTATATGACAAAGCTTTTTGAATGATAATTTAAAAACAATTAGTATCATCTCATCATTCTACAAACCGAGCTTAATGAGGAATTAACTTAATGAAAAAAAAATTGTGGCAGGATTTGGAATCTCTTCTGGAGAAGAAACGATCACCCAAAAATGTGAAGAAATGTCTCTCGGCGTCTCAGGGTAAATCTCCAGTGAGCAAGATTGCTTCTCCCAAAAAGGAGAAGAAACCACCCATCTCAAAGGAGCGACTTGGACAAGAGCAGCAGAAACCATCAGTAGGTAGAAAACTCCTGACTGGTATGTGTTCTGAATACTTAATTAAAATTATTTAATTGGTTAATGTATAAACAGCATAGTCATCAGCAATGACGTGTCATAATATATTTTTTTTTATGTCTGAGGTGCAGAATAGCCCATTCATGGTACAAAAGTGATGTTTTAGCTCATTGTGTTGTTGCCAGAACCCTGCAGCTTTGGCACACAATTCTTTCAATGCTTCATGTGAAATGACAACTTGTTGCCTTACGAGGGTTCTCCAGCTTCATGTACCAATTTATAATCTCATTTTTTAAAGAAAGTTAAATAATATCTTTACCATACTATTTGTAACTCTTTGGAGCACAGTTGGATTTTCTTCTAAAGAGACCCACACATGTCTATATTTCAGTATATACCTGAGGTGATAATTCCTTACTAGTTGATTGGAATGATGTATATAAAATAAATTTAATTATCTGCATAGCTATTTATGAATGCATTCTAGTAAAATATAAGATTAATCACTTTTGGGGAATCTGCACCATAGATGCAGCAATGTCTGTACACAGCTGGGTTAAATGAAAGATGTCATCAAAGCATTAGCTCAGAATTTCTTTGGTTTTGTGTGGGGATGTTAAAATTCTTGTATTCTGGTAAATGTAGCCGCTGAAAGTTTCAGAGGTTACATGTTTACATGCAGTCTGGGGAGGTGGCTCCCAGGGAGCTGACTTGCTCCTCTATGCTGCTGCCATGGAGGTTAAGGGGGGACCTATGTGGAGCCATTTTATGCTATCACGTTCCTAGTTTTGTGTAGATTTTTGTGCTTTTGAGAGAGAGAGGCAAAAATCCCAAGAATCTATCTCTTAAGTCTAGGCGATTTTCCAATTGCACTGTAACTTTACCCTTTTCCTTCCTCCTAGTTTCAAGGCACAGACAAGCATTGGCTTATGGGTAGAGCAGAGGACTGGAAATCAGGAGTTCTGGGTTTTATTTCTGTTTTTGTCACTGGTTTGTGGGCTAATCATTTAATCTCTCTATAAACAAGCTTAATTACATTTTCTTTCTATTTTTGAGATTTAGTTGAAGCGATTTGATACGTTCTGAAAGCACCCAAAGTATAACATTAGTATAATTATATGTAGCGTCTTCCTCAAAGGGTTTTTCTTAGAGCAGCATATGCTAATTTCCTTTCCTTACTTATTAAGAGAATAATTTGTGCAATGATTCTGTCTCTCATCAACCTAATGCGAAAGCATGTCCCTAGTTATCTCCTTAGTTGTATGTCTTCTGCTGCTAGTAGTGTTTGTTGTTGTCTCTTTCTAGTCCTCAAGTGGCCTTGAGTGCCATGAATCTTTCAAAGCATATAAATTGCTTCCTGAAGCAGAGCAGGGACCCACCTTGTGCATTATTTGGCAAAGGAAACAGTTGGACATTTACCAATATCATGGTAGTTTATTTTTAATGCAGTGGGACTTAGGTGTCTCTGTCATGAACCAGCACCCCATTGTGCTAGTCTTTGTACAAACACTCAACAGATAGATTGGAAGCCCTTTGGAGTAGGGACTAAGGTTTATTTTTAATTACTTATGTAGATGAGGATGAACATGTTGCAGATATTCCATTGGCACAGAAGCTAAGCAGCCATGCTGATTGGTCAGGTCAAGAATTCCAACAAAAGCATGACCCACACACTTCAGACAGAGATGCAGCTTTAAAAACAAGTCACGATACATCGATGAGAGCTAGACCTGCGAAAAAAGCCCTTGTGCTTGAAAATGGACCCTTGAAGAAAAAAGGTGTATTGTTACCAGCCAAACAGGTACAAAAGTAACATTTAAAATAAGATATCCTCTCTCCTCTTATGGGAGCTTTAACTTAATGGAAGGCACTGTTAAAGGGATGCCATCACCATGAAACTGAGTAACATATACTAAGTTAAAAGCAGTTTCAGACATTTGCCTCTGAGTGTCCCTGCCAGATTCTGTCACTTTATAATCACATTTTCTTGTTTTTAAATTTTTTTCTTGTCCTCTGTTGCATTGTGAAAGACGGATGGGTGTAGGAACAGCTGACTACCAGAAATGTGAAACTGACTACAGTTGAAGCGCTGTTATCCAGTATGTTGGGGAAAGGGGGAATGTTAGTTAATCGAATATTCTGGTAAAATGAGAGTTATTCTTTACCAAAGGAATATTAATTTTCAGAGAATTAGAATTCAATAAAGTGGATAAAGTATAAAATAGTACATGGGTACCAGTCAAGTAGTAGTACTGCACTGCAGAGGGGTTGGTTTCTTGAAGCACTTAGGTGTATGCTGGTAAAGTTTACTGTACAGTAGGGTATATTAGGATATGTCCTATTACTGTAACAGCACATGGCCTACATCCAGATCACTAAAACTATACTGAGCATAACTTAATCTTTCCTTGATTCAGAAGGCACTTCAGGATCTTGTAGTGCCTGAGGGTTATCATTATCAACATCAGTTATCATTGTAGGTGGTGCAGGAGATCGGGTTGAATCTGTAATGATGCTATGAAACACCCTGGAAGTTGCTTTTTTGAATAAATCCCTGATTTCAGCTTGCTGATTTCTCTTTTGCCTCTTTTACATAAAAGTAGAGTGCAAAATTTGCAATTGCATAATGGGCTGGGCAGAATACTAGTCCCGGTTACAAGATTAAAGGTTTGTATTTAATCTGCTGCATTATCAGAAGTGCCGGTTGATTGAACTTTCTGGTTGAGTGCCAGATAACAGCTTTACTGGACACACAAAGTATTAGCAAATGCTTTTAGTAAATGTATTGGGAGGAAATGAATTCTGTTTCATGTATAAAAATTGTAGTCAGTGTTGGAAATAGTAATGGGTAACACATTTTCAGACAGTACTATGGTTGTCTTTTTTTTTTTTTTTTCTTCAAACAGAAGTGTCCCATTAGCATCCTTAGGGCTTGTCTCCACTACACCAGAGATCAACACTACAGGGATCAACCTACCACTTGATTTATCGAGTCTGCTTAGATGCGATAAATCGATTTCTGAGCACTCCCCGTCAACTTGGTGCTCCATTAGGACTAAAAGAGTAGCAGGGGTCGAAGGGAGCTCAGTCCCCGCTGACCTTACCGCACGCAAGATGCTGCAGTAAGTACGTCGACTTCAGCTATGCTATTTGCATAGCTGAAATCAAGGGGCAGAGGTTAATGTAGAGAAGGCCTCAAACAGTTCATAAGGAGTGATGGAAAAAAGCAAAGGGCTTTGACATTGCTCTTGAGATAGGTACATTCAATTAAAAGTAATAAAAGCCAACTACTTTCAGCTGCACTAGTTTAAATTTTCCATTCATTTCAGGAGGAATGGAGAACACTCAGCATGTTTCAGAATGTTGGAGTCAACAGGAGGCTTTCTGCTGACTTATGTGCCCATTGGATCACATCCTAAATGCTCTCTCCTCACTCCAAATGCTGGAAATAAAGTCCTTAATAATCTACTGGACCCGAATGGCCATTCCTGAATCTGAGTGTTCTGCATTCCTTGCTTCTTGGATATTTCCACTGTTTTGGTTTCTTTAAAAAAAAAAAAAAAAAAAAGTCACTAAAGAGCATCATTACCATCTGCTGGAAATGAATTGAATAACTGAAAATTTCATAAACTTAAAAAACAACAAATGGTCTGGTAGCACTTTATAGACTAACAAAACGTGTAGATGGTATCATGAGCTTTCGTGGGCACAGCCCACTTCTTCAGATGACTTGGTCTATAAAGTGCTACCAGACTATTTGTTGTTTTTTAAATTTATCCTGTACAGACTAAATTCGCTACCCCCTGAAGCTTCTGACAATAACAACCATTTTCCACAAAATTAGTGTGAAAATAATTGTATGGCATTTGTTTCCCATTTGACATCTCTACTGCTGTTTTTTCATCTAGGACTTAAAGTTGAAATATTTCCTCCTATGACATTAATGATGTCTCATTTAACATGTGCCTGCTTAACACATTTTTGTGATAGCACGATTTTTTTTTTTTTTTTTAGGGAATGTTTTTTGAATTACATGACCATCCCCAGAATAACACAATTTCCCCAGCCAGCCCATTGCCAGCGGCTGTGCAGGGCTTCCCCTGCCTCTCTGCAAAGCAGCAGAGGGTTCACCGCTTGCCGCACTGTTCCCCAGTGACACTCCTACCCCCGTCGCCGGTCGCAGTGCGGATCCCGGCAGACCCGTCACAAGGGCATACTCCCAACCCAATCCCCCTCTCCTCTTCTCCCCTTTCCTTCCCCAGAGCCAAACACCTCCCCTCCCTGCTTTAACCCAGTCCCCTTTCTCCCCCAACCTTATGCCCAACAGACACCACCGCTTGAAATGTAACCCCCAGCTTTTCCATTATTTTCAATGGGGAAAATTGACCACGCATAACATGTTTTCGCTTTACACGGTAACTTTCTGAAACATATCTATAGTGTTAAATGAGGAATTACTGTATTTATTAAAATAATTCATTGCAATTATACAACCACTTGTCTTTTAGTAAATGCCATTTCCAACCAGCAGATGGCCTTGTTGGTGCAAGAAAATGCAAAAAGAATGAATGAGTGTTACTGACATGTCCATCTTAAAAAATATTCATAAATGCTTTCCCCCTGGCAGCTGGGAAAGGGAGGAGGGCCCAGCCATAGGAGCCCCAGCCCTCTGTCGTACCGCAGGGAAAACACACTCTTACACACACACACACACAGAGAGGGAGGGAGAGAGGGAGAGGGAGAGGGAGAGGGAGAGAGACGCGTTCTTACTATATTAATATCACAGAAGCCTGTGAACAGCTACGTTAAACATTTTAAATAATCCATAACATGGTGCCTCAGTCTGTGCTTCAACCAGATGTTGGAATAGTTCGTATTTGTGAGTGGAAAATGGTGTTCATAATTTACCCACTGTTGAACAATTATGTCCGGTTTCTTAGCCATGTTTTGAGTTGTGCCACTCTCTTCTGAAGAAGTTGTAATAAATCTCTAAATAGCTTTACTCATCAGCAAGTCCAGTCTTACAAATAGCCCACATGTAAAAAACCCATATTCATGTGAATTCTGCCACTGAATACAGTTGGATTATTTTCATGACTAAAGAATGAAGGATTGGGCCCACCACTCTCTCTTTGGGTGCGTTCCTACTCTCATTACGGTCCGTTTTAAAACCGCCTTTGATTTCAGTTCTTCAGAATTAGTTCCTTAGATCTGACCCTAAGACAGAAATTTTGATGCAGAGTGTGGAATATATATTTAGAATTCTGAACATTTTTTGAATGTTAACATTTCTTAAAGGGAATCCGTAAGCATCCAAGATCAAGACCTGTGCAGCTTCCAGCAAAGCATGCCCGGTTTCAAGAGACCACCGTAGCTTTCAGGCAAAAAGAGAACAAGCCACTTGTTAAAGAGACTAGAATACCTTGGGTTCCTCCAAATCCTACATCTCCATCTTCTTCACCTAAACGGTATTTTAACATTCAAACTGGAAATGCTTTTTATATTTGTAATTATAAATATAGTTGTAATGATAGCTAAATATTGAAAAATGTTATAAGTGCTTGTATACAGATACTAGAAATCTAATTACAAAATGGGTGAATTTCAGTACTTGATATTAAATGATGATATCGATTAGAAATATGCATCACAAACTTGCTGGAACAATGATAATGGGACACGGAAATAGTAGGGTACTAAACATGTAGAAGTAACAGACTAGCTTGTGTTGATGGGGGAATGGCACTGTATGTGAAAGAAAGCAGAGTTAAACATAGTAAAAATCTTTAAATTAATCAGACTGTACCATAGAATCTCAGTGGATAGAAATTCCACACTCTTTAAGAGAATAGCAATAGAAATATAATATCAATTTCCTGACTGGGAGGGTGATTGTGGAAAAACTCAGGAAGATTAGAAGGGCCAAAAAAATGAACACCAGTAATAATAGTGTATTTCTACTATCCCCATTTGGATTTGGGATGTCTCCTCAGGATGAGATGCAGCGATACAATTTCTCCCCATGAACCTGCATGGAGAGAGTCAGTTCTTGATTTAATCCTAAAGAAAGCACAAGATCTTGTCCAAGGGGTGAATATAACTGAGCTGCTCAGTAATAAGGATCATCATGTAATTAAATTTACCATCTTTGTGGAGGGAACATAGCCAAGAAATCCACCATAGTAACTTTAACTTCTAAAAGGGGGGAACTAAACAATGAGGAAGCTAGTTAGATAGAAATTAAAAAGAACAGTCATGAATGAAGTGTCTGCACGCTTCATGGAGACCATTTAAAACACCATAATAGAGGCTCAGACTAATTGTATACCCCAAGTAAAATAAAAACAAAAACAGTAAGTGGTCCAAAAATGCTCACACAGCTAAACAATTAATTAAAAGACAGAGTCACAAAGGCATCCTTTTCAATTTGGAAGTTGAATGTTAGTGAAGAAAATAGCAAGGAGCCTAAACTGCCATGTCAAGTGTAAAAATATAACTAGGAAGATCAAAAAAGAAGTTGAAAAGCAACCAGCAAAAGGCACAAAAACTAATAGTAAAAATGTAAGTACATCAGAAGCAGGAAGTCTGCCAAGTACTTAGTAGTGCCACTGAACAATTGATCTGCTAAAGCAGGGGTGGGCAATAATTTTTGATCAGGGGTCACTTCAGAAATTTTTGATTGGTCTGTGGGTGGGGTAGTGTGAAGTCTTTGCCCCCGACACCCAGAGAGAACTGCCAGCTGTTTTGAACATCTGGCAGTTCCCTCTAGGCGCCCTCGCCCCTGGCAGTGGGAGGAGACTTAGTGTGCTCCCTTCCCCATCTGTCCCCAGGTCAGTCAGGGTCTGGGGGCGGGGGGGAGCATGCAAAGTCTGCCCCCGCCCTGCGAGGGAGCATTGTGCTTAGAGTCACCTGCCAGATGAGCAGTGGTTGGCAGTTGACTCTATATGCCAAGCCCCATGCAGGGTGGGAGGAGACTTTGTGTGCTCTCCCCGCTCCCAGGCCAATCAGGGCTTGGGGGCGAGAGGAACGCGCAAAGTCTCCTCCTGCCCTGCCCCCGTCCTGAAAGGCACACATGGTGCTTCTGAGTTCTGCACTTTCCTTACAGAGCAGGGGCAGGGAGGGAGGAGACTGCATGTGCTTTCCCCTACCCCCCAGACCCTGATTGACCTGGGGGTGGGGCATGCATGAAGTCTCTCACTCCCTGCCCTCCAGCACGCAGTGCTTAGTCAACCACCAGGGTTGACTCTAAGCACCGCATACTCCCCCATCCCTAGGCCCTGATTGGCCTGGAGGCGGGAGAGCAGCAGGACCTCTGTGGGCTGGATCAGCCTGCTTAATGGGCCCGATCCAGCACATGGAGGACCTTTTGCCCACCCCTGTGCTAAAAAGAAACCTTCAAGACTGTTGCAAAGAAGCCAAATTAATCCTTGCTATTGGTTTTCACTGTACAGCAGGGGTGGGGAACCTTCTTTGGGATGGAGACCACTAACCTACTGAGATATCAGTCAGGGGCTGAACAAAAGTAAGAAGCAAAAAAGAAAAAACACACACACAACTCCCCTTGTCCCCCTTCCCTCCTTAACCGCTCCAACCCTTCGCAGCTGCTTGTGTGGGGGGAGGCAGGGCAGCAAACTCAGAAACTCTGGAGCTCTTTTTTACTCAGAAGCTCCAGCACATGGAGCTTTCCCCTCCAGCCAGGTCTCCTGATCATCTCTCCCATGTACAGGAGAGGAATCGGAAGCATCCACCCGCGCTGCAGAGAGGATGAAGGAAGTTTTTAAAACCTCCTCAGGGACTTCCCACAGTTTTTCATGGTTTCTGGACCCCACAAGGACTGGATTAAATTGTTTGGTGGGCTGGATCTGGCCTGTGGGCCGGAGGATCCACCGCCATTGTAGAGGATGTGAGAAATCTCTGTACCTGAGGTGTTCTTTTTAGGTGACAGATCTAAGGAATTGCCCCAGATTGAAATGTCAGTAGAGGAAGAAATTAATTGATTAAACAATAATAAGTCTCCAGGACCAGAGGATATTCTTCCAAAAGTTCTGAAGGAACTCAAATATAAAATTGCAGAACTACAAACGATGGTATGTAATTTATCACTTAAATCACACTTTGTATCAGAGGATAGCTAATGTAATGACACTTTTTTTTAAAAAAAGCACCAAAGGCCATCCTTACAATTACAAGTTGGTAAATCTAACTTCAGTGCATTTTTTTCCCCCCAGAATTACTAAGTACATAGGTGGGGAAGAGTCAAAACAGCTTTTATAAAGGAACATCATGTCTCACCCAGCTACCAGAATTTTTTGAAGGGGGTCAGGGAACATGGACAAGATTGATCCAGTGGATGTAGTATAGTTAGACTTTCATAAAGCTTTTGAAGAGGTTCCTTATCAATGGCTCTTAAACAAAGTAAGTAGTTGTGGGATAAGAGAGAAGGTTCCTCTGATGGATCAATGAGGATTCTGTAATTCCACTCCCAACTCATCTGATGAATATATTTGTTAGTCTCATGACATATTTGTTAGTCTCTAAGGTGCCACAGGACTGCTTGTTGCTTTTAAAGTTACAGACTAACACGGCTACCCCTCTGACACTGATTAAAAGATAGTAAACAAAGGGTGCAGGAATAAATGGTCAATTTTCACATGTAAATAGTGAGGTCCCCTGAAGATCTGTACTGGAACTAATGGTGTTCAACATATTCATAACTGATCTGGAAAAAAGATAACTGGTGAGGTGGCAGGTTGCAGATGATATAAAATTATTCAAGGTAATTAAATCTAATAAAGCTGACGGTGAAGAGTTATAAAGGCATCTGAGAGAACTGGGTACTAGATGTCAAAATGACAGATGAAATGTAATGTTTGTAAGTGTAAAGTAATGAACATTGGAAAATGTAATCCCAAGTAAGAGCTCTTGGGGTCATTGTGGATAGTTCTCTGAAAACATCTACACGATGTATAGTGACAGTTAAAAAAATGTAACAATGTTAGGAATCATTAGGAAAAGGATAGATAATTAATCAGAAAATATCAGAATGTTGCTATATAAACCCATTGCACCTTAAACGCTGAATGAATCTCAGGTTTCCTATCTCAAAAAAAGATACATGAGAATTGAAAAAGTACAGAGAATGGCAGCAAAAGCGATTGGGGTATGAAACAACCTCTATAGTATGAGAGATTTAAAAAGACTGGGTCTGTTCAACTTAGAAAGAGATGAGTAAAGGGGGATATGATGGAGGTCTGTGAAATTATAAATGAAGTTGATTAGAAAGTGTTATTTTCTCCTTCATATAACACAAGAACCAGGGGCCACCCAATGTAATTAATAGGCAGCAAGTTTAAAATATGTGTTAAAATAAACACAAGGAAGTACTACTTCATACAACACACAGTCGGCCTGAGAAACTCGTTGGCAGCGGATATTGTAAAGGCCTGGGGTTCAAAAAAGAATTAGACAAGTTCACAGAGGATAGTTCCATCAATGGCTATTGGCTAGGATGATCAAGGATGCAGCCCCATGCTCTGGGTGTCCCTTAACCTGACTGCCAGGAGCAGGGACTGGATAACAGGATGAATCATTCAAAAACAGCCCTTTTCTGTCTTTCTCTCTGGAGCATCTGGCATGGAATTATCAGAAGACAGGGTAGTGGGCTCGGTGGACCATTGTTTTGACATTTATGTTCTTACATGTTATGGATTCACAAGCAATGTTTGTTAATTCATTGCAAGGTCGAGGAAGAAATGGTTGAATAATTGATTTGGTATAGAGAACATTTTAAATACATTTTTAATTAGTCATTATATTTTAAATTGATATTAATTCTGAATTAAACTTCAAATAATTTATAACAGAAAGTATATGAAATTAGCTTTTGTAAAGTAGATCCTAAGATAGTAGGGCAAGTTCTGTTACAACTTAAATATGTTTCTTTAAATTTATTTCCCTTCACCACTATTTAAAAATGTTTGCTAGACTCCTGTAAACCAGTAATAGCTACAACTCATTACAGTAACTGGTGCCCTAATCCTGCTGTGAGTTTCATGTATGAGTAACTCTGTTTTTTCATGGAGTACCATTGCAGACCCTGTGTTGACAAAAGGGAGGAAATTCACAGCTTTTCATGATTTACCAGGCTTCCCGTGTTCATGTCCATATTTTTAGACTCCGGTCCCGGTCCTTCAAAAGCTTTTACACATGCTTGTGTTTAAGAGCATGCCTGCCTCTTTTAATGTCAGTGGAGTAACTGATATGAATAAATTGAAATTGTGTAAGTTCTTGCAGGACTAAGGCCTGAATCAGTTTTTAGTATAGTAATTTTGCCTGCTGTGAACAGGCATTTTTTCATTAGGAAAGTGGGAAAGGGATTTCAGTAATATAATTTTTTTCCTAATTCACAGTGCTCCTTGGGGATACATGAATGCTAGTCCCAAAGCTTCAAGCAGAGAACAGTCAGCTTTGCAGAAAGAAAGAAGCGAAGAAGGAAGATTAGGAGCCATTGAAAAAGAAGCTCTCAGGTAGGCCTATATCGCTATCCAGAAATGCAAACAATAATATATTATTTTTCTAAATAAAACTTTTCTTTTCACTTTAAAGAACTGATTACATTTTGAAGGTAAAACCGTTAACACTCTTTAGTCAGGCAAAAACTGAATTAAGGGCACTTCTTCATATGAAGGGCTATACCACACCACTTTTTTAAGCTTTCCTATGGAGCCATGAAGTCTTCTTCTTGTGAGGAAATGGGAGGGGTCTCTCTGCTCTCTTCCCCCTTCTACCTCAGGAGGGAATCTGGCTTGCACCTTACTCCCCATCTGATTGATTGCTGATAAAAGCTCTTAAACTCCCCTTCTCTCTCCTTTGAGCCTCGCCTGGCTGTCAGCAGATTATTCATTTTTCTCCTCCTCCTCTCTGCAGGATAGAGGGAACTTGGTAATTCCTACAAAATGCTTCCATAGTTGTCCCACTCTGAAGACTGCTCTGTAATCAGCGCTAGGCCCTCTTTGGCTGAGTACAGGGTTACAAAATAGACAGTGTTTGTGTTAGATGGAATCTATGACCAAAACTGTTAACTCGGTCATTGTTCAACATGAAACAGTATAAGATAAGGTCCAGAATTTGGCATACAGATACCTCAGCCTGCTTAGCATCATGGTACAAACACCATTACTCATCTTTGTCTTTCTTTAAAGATAAAGAAAAGAAGGAAAAATATTTAAAGTATTTGAAATATAAAATAGTAAGTAAGATTTTCATTTTAATAGCATCTCTTCTTCCCTTTACTTGTAGCTGGAGAGGGTTTTAGAAGGAAAAGAGCCTCCATGTTTGACAGTCTCTTAGATAATAAGAGACTGGGTAGTGATCAATGGCTTGATATCAGGTTGGCAGTTGGTTTCAAGCGCAGTGCCCCCAGGTTTGATTCTAGGGTCGGTTTTGTTCATCATCTTTATTAATGACTTAGATGAGGGAATGGATTGCACCCTCAGCAAGAGGTAGATAGATGGAGGGTAGAGATTGGGTGCAGAGTGATCTAGATAAATTGGAGGATTGGGCCAAAAGAAATCTGATGAGGTTCAACAAGGACAGTGCAGAGTCCTGCAGTTGGAATGGAAGAATCCCAAGCACTGTTACAGGCTGGGGACCAACTGGCTAAGCAGCAGTTCTGCAGAAAAGGACCTAGGGATTACAGTGGATGAGAAGCTAGATATGAGTCAACAGTTTGCCCTGGTAGCCAAGAAGGCTAATGGCATATTAGGGTGCATTAGGAGGAGCATTTCCAGCAGATCTAGAGAAGTGATGATTATTCCACTTTATTCTGCACCAGTGAGGCTATATCTAGAGTATTACATCTAATTCTGGGCCCCCCACTACAGAAAGGAGGTGGACGCATTGGAGAGGATCCAGCGGAGGGCAACAAAAATAATTAGGGGCTGGAGCACATGACCTACGAGGAGAGCTGAGGGATTTGGGCTTCTTTAGTCTGCAGAAGAGTGAGGGGGGATTTGATAGCAGCCTTCAACTTCCTGAAGGGAGGTTCCAAAGAGGATGGAGAGAGGCTGTTCTCAGTAGTGGCATATGACAGGAGGAGGAGTAATGGTCTCAAATTACAATGGGGGAGGTCTAGGTTGGATATTAGGAAAAAGTATTTCATTAGGAGGGTGGTGAAGCTCTAGAATGGGATCCCTAGGAAGGTAGTGGAATCTCCATCCCTAGAGGTTTTTAAGTCCCGGCTTGACAAAGCCCTGGCTAGGATGGTTTCGTTGTGGTGGTCCTGATTTGGGCAGGGGGCTGGACTCGATGACCTCCTGAGGTTTCTTCCAGTTCTATAATTCTATAACAAAGATAGTAATAACTATACTGTTGCGGAAAGCAAAAGACAGTAATTAAGATGGCCTGGATCTGTCATCATTGCTGCTGTTAATGTCTGTTTCCATATCATCCCAGTTGGTTTTTGGGATTCAGCTGGAGCTAGTGATGTCATCTGGGTCCCTCTCTCTGTCTGATCATGTCTGATCATGTCTAATCATGACATCACTTGGGGTTAGAACAAACAAGATCTGATGATCCAGGAGCTGGTGGAATGGTGGGTATAATGGCGAATTTTCTCCAGGAGCTTCAATTTGTTCTTCCATCTTTTCCCCAACAAGGGAGTGGTGCATTGAATAGCCTGTCCACTCATTATTTCCTTGGCCAATTAGACCTAATATTTGATATACCAATATTGATTCATTTATTTCCAGATCCACATTTTCTTGTTTACCAAGCATGATCTTAACACAATCCATGAGTTACCTCAGTAAGCCTTTTTTACTTTGGACTAATTTAATTCTTCTGCCTCTTTTATACCTTTTCCTATCAACATTTATATTACAGATTATTGTGACATTTTATGAACTTTCACAATTTTTACAGTTGAGTTCATAGAGTAAATTTGTAGGCCTAATTATAAGAACATAATATTATCTTTATTAAAACAATTCCATCTAGGATTGTACACTTGTTCATAAAATCACAGTTACAAAGAAAAAAATCTTATTTTAATTTAAGCATAGAGGAAAAAAAAAAGAAAAATTTGCTTGGTTATAATTCAAATTTGTAAATTCCTTATCTCAAAATTGGGATTTACAAATCTTACTTTATCAGATATTACAAAAATTACAATTAGAGCTTTCAGCTATTAACAAAGCTTAAGAATTTATAACTCACTTCATTTATAGCTAAAAGAAAACTTAAAGCTACTGCTGTTACAGGTTTGTAAATGTTTAGAAACAAACCATCTCTTCTTTGGCTGTAGGCCTACAATGAGTAAGCATGGCAAAAAACCCCCTTTGTTGCCATTTACACAATTAAAGCTGTACATTTACACACATCATGAAAATTGTATCCACTAGTGGTTAAGCTTGCTCGGGGAGGAGGAAGACTTTAGCCCTAATGGCATTCTTATTCAGGTTTGTTGCCTTCTTTAAGAAGAAGCAAGAAAAATATGTTGTTTGGAGCCCCTTTTGCATTCCTGAGACATTTGCAAAACATACATGGGTTGTCAAAATTCATAGGGATGTTGACAGATGTTCTTCATCTGTTTTACTAGTAATATTTGTGAGGGCAACATTGTCATTGGGGAAACTTAACCCATCCTGGGAGTCTAACCTGGACCGGTTTTGTTCAACATCTTGATTAATGACCTGGATGAGGGGATGGATTGCACCTTCAGCAAGTTTGCAGAGGACACTAAGCTAGGGGGAGAGGTAGATATGCTAGAGGGCAGGGATAGGGTCCAGAGTGAGCTGGACAGATTAGAGGATTGGTCCAAAAGAAATCTGATGAAATTCAACAAGGACAAGTATAGAGTCCTGCACTTGGGACAGAAGAATCCCAAGCATTATTACAGGCTGGGGACTGAATGGCTAAGTAGCAGTTCAGCAGAAAAGGACCTGGGGATTACAGTGGATGAGAAGCTGAATATGAGTCAACAGTGTTCCCTTGTAGCCAAGAAGACTAATGCCACATTAGGGTGCATTAGGAGGAGCATTGCCAGCAGATCCAGAGAAGTGATTATTCCCCTTTATTTGGCTCTGGTGAGGCCACATCTGGAATATTGTGTCCAGTTCCGCCCGCCCCTCTCCTCCCCCCCCACTATAGAAAGGATGTGGACACATTGGAGAGGGCCCAGCAGAGGGCGACCAAAATGATTAAGCGGCTGGAGCGCATGACCTGTGAGGAGAGACTGAGGAATTTGGGTTTGTTTAGTCTGCAGAAGAGAAGAGTGAGGGGGGATTTGATAGCAGCCTTCAACTTCCTGAAGGGAGGTTCCAAAGAGGATAGAGAAAGGCTGTTCACATTAGTGATGGATGGCAGAACAAGGAGCAATGGTCTCAAGTTACAGTGGGGGAGGTCTAGGTTGGATATTAGGAAAAAGTATTTCACTAGGAGAGTGGTGAAGCACTGGAATAGGTTACCGAGGGAGGTGGTGGAATCTCCATCCCTAGAGGTTTTTAAGCCTCAGCTTGACAAAACCCTGGCTGGGTTGATTTAGTTGGGATTGCTCCTGCCTTGGGCAGGGGCTGGACTTGATGACCTCCTGAGGTCTCTTCCAGCTCTATGAAGCTAACATTAACACAGCACTATCTTACATGCAGAGAATAACAACAAAAACATTGACATCAAAAACAAAACAGGGGAAAAAATTGCTAAAATACATAATACCATCACCAGAAAACTGCTAAAACAACAACAACAACAAAAATGCTTCAAAAAACAACACAATGGGGAGGAGAAACATTGCAAAACCACAAAACAACCTCACAGAGTTTGGTGTTGCAGCCCTCGGTTCTGGTGTTTTGAAATAAAATTCATAGTGCAGGAGCAGCACTGAATTAAACTAGCATTTTGTTAATAAGAGGATTATCAAAGATGTTATTTCAGTAAATATCTGCTGTAACAACTTAAGTTTCAAACATTTTACTTTGTTTTTTTTTTCTTCTTAAAAACAGCGAAAGCTTTGTTATTGGCTCTCCTGGGGAATGCTGATTGCCGGTTAATTGAAGGTGCTGGATACTCAGGCAAAGGGTTAGGTAGTTCAAGGCAGGCTGAAGAGGAGGAGGCACCTGCTGATAAGATCAGCCAGCAGTGCCACATTGCCGGTTAACAAAGTGCCAGATAACAAAGATTTCACTGTATATCTTTTCACTAAATTTTCAAAATTATTACTACTCACACCAGTGTTCCCTCTAAGATTTTTCATCCATGAGAGGAGGGAGTTTTGTCTTGTGCACCAACATGGAGGTTGTGCGTGCTTGTTTGGATATGTGCCACTGTGGCGCCCAATTATAAACCTCTCCCTTTTCCCCTCTGTTGCCATGTCTCCCATCCTCCTCGTCCCATTTGCTCCCCTGGTGCCTGCTGGTGCTCCCCCCCCACCTTCTCTGTTGTCCTAGTTCCTGCCCTTCTCACTCCCCTCAGCCCTCCCCATCCTCTCTGACCTTTGCACCTGCCCTTCCTCCCATGCCCACCCCTTCTCTAACTCCCCATTCCCTCTCCTAACACCTCCTTCTCCCCACCCACCCTGCCTCTCTTCTCTGCCCTCTGATGCCCTTCCTTCCCCTCCCCTCCACTCACCTCCCCATGTCTGCCCTTCTTCTTTACCCCCACAATCCCCTGGCACCTGCACCTTCCTTTACCCCTGGCACCCTCCTGATGCCTCCCCCTTCCCTCCTTGCGCCCTCCTAACACTTTCCCCCCCCCTTGCCCTCTTCCTCTTTGGTGCCCACCATCTCACCACCCTCTGCCTGAGTTCTCCTCACGCCCTTCTGCGCCCTCATATATGACTTGTTCTAACCCCTTCCTTCCTCATGCTCACCCCTCCTTCCAACCCCTCTTCTCCCAGCACCCACTCCTCTTCCTCCTTCTTGCCTTCATTGCCCCTCCCCTCTCCTCGCATCACCTTGTCCCCTCCACTCTCCTACCCTCACTGACACTTTCCCATTACCTCCACCCCTGCTCCTCCTGACCTTTCCCTTCATTGTCTCCTCTTGTCACCCTGGCTTTTGTCTTTCCTCCTCCGTGCGCCTTGGTGCCTTTCCCTTTCTTCTCCTGTCCTGGCCCCCTTGTCTCCCCTCATCACAAGCCCCTTCCTCTCCTCACTCATCTTCCCCTTAGTTATCCTCCTGTCCCTTCCTTTCCCTTCTGCTGTCCTGACACCTGCACTTGTCAGGTGGGCTGCAAGGTGGGCAGCTGCCCTGAGTGAAAACTTGAGCCAAGGCCATGGTGCTATTTTTAGTACTGTGATCCCAGCTCCAGCAGCTGCTACGCAGCCACAGCCCCACCAGCCATGTGTGCTGGGTCTGGAGCCGGGCCACGGAGCTATTTTTAGTACTGTGGCCCAAACTCCAGCTCTGACAGCAGCCACTCATACTGTGTGGTGGCTGGGCAGTCATCTGCCACGCAGCTGTGGGTCTGCTGAGGGGGTGGGTGGGAATGAAATTCTTGGTGTGCGCCCGGGCAGGCGCGTACCTTATAGGGAACCCTGACTCTCATTAACTGCAAACCTCGAAAAAAAAGAAAGCATTTGTTAAAAAATTATTAAACAATAACTTTAAAAGATGGGTTAATTTTTTTAAAAAGCTAAAATATTAATAGTTTGCTTTTCATATTTACCTTAAACTAACTTGTTTTCCAAAATGCCTGTTTTAGAGCATGTATTAACCATTTAGACCCAACACTGTAATGTCAGAAATGTTGTTTTAGGTGGAATAATGTGGGCCAAAAGTGTGTTTAATATAATCCATTCACAACTAGGGATGTTAAAATGAGTGTAATATGCTAACCATGTAACCAGCTGCTACTCCATGCTGCTACCTCTATATCAGCGGCAGCAGTGTGGAGCAGCAGCTGGCTCCTACCTGCCACCCTGCTCCCAGTGGGTAAATGATAAACTCATGTGTAAGCTTGTCCTTACTGGTTACCCATTTACATAGTTACACTCTTACATCCCTAGTCACAAGCCAACATTACACAGTGTTAAACAAGGTCTGTTTAGCATACAGAGATTGCAGCTTGCAAACACACCAGTAAACATCTTTTAGCTTTAAATAGATATGGAAAAAATCCAGACTGGGTTTTGCAGTAACATACCAGGGTAGGTTAAGAGGAATCCTGAATATGTTAAGTTAGTACGCTCCACAATAAGGAAATTAAGGGCAAGATTTTCAAATGTGCCAAATGATTTTTTTGGGGGTTGCCTGATTTGAGATACCTTTAAAGGATTTTCAAGGGGCAAGTATTTAGCATTTTCTGACATTAGAGCTGCTTTTAAGAGTGCTCAGATTTGGCACTCACCAGTTTAGGCATGCAGAATCATTTGTCTGTTTTGAAAATCTTGGCCTAAGAATTACATTTTCTAATCTGTTCTTAACATGCCTAATTGGTGCTAGATGTGTCACAATCTTCTGTACTATGCCTACTATGATATTTAATGAAAGGAGTGTTAGGAAAGGTGAAGAATTCTAGGGATTCAAGGAGGCCCATCATTTTTCAACTTCCACAACTCTGTTGTATCTGTAACCCACAAACCTTCTGTCACTGTCCCATGTATTGGCACTTAGAATCATAGAATACTAGAATTGGATGTGATCTTAAGAGATTATCAAGTCCAGTCCCCTGCCCTCACAGCAGGACTAAGCACCATCTAGATCATCCCTGATAGATGCCCATCTAACCTGCTCTTAAATATCTCAGGTAATGGAGATTCCACAACCTCCCTAGGGAATGTATTCCAGTGTTTAACCACCCTGACAATTAGAAAGTTGTCCAACCTAAACCTCCCTTGCTTCAATTTAGGCCCATTGCTTCTTGTCCTATCATTAGAGGTCAGGGAGAACATTTTTCCCCCTTCTCCTTGTAACACCCTTTGAGGTACTCGAAAACTGCTATCATGTCCCCTCTCAGTCTTCTCTTCCAAACTAAACACACAGGCTACGTCTACACTGGCCCCTTTTCCGGAAGGGGCATGTTAATTTCACCTATCGTAGTAGGGAAATCCGTGGGGGATTTAAATATCCCCCGCGGCATTTAAATAAAAATGCCCGCCGCTTTTTTCCGGCTTTTAGAAAAGCCGGAAAAGAGCGTCTACACTGGCCCCGATCCTCCGGAAAAAGCACCCTTTTCCGGAGGATCGGGGCCAGTGTAGACGCTCTTTTCCGGCTTTTCTAAAAGCCGGAAAAAAGCGGCGGGCATTTTTATTTAAATGCCGCGGGGGAGATTTAAATCCCCCGCGGATTTCCCTACTACGATAGGTGAAATTAACATGCCCCTTCCGGAAAAGGGGCCAGTGTAGACATAGCCACACAGTTCTTTAGGTCTTCCCTCAAAGGTCATGTATTCTAGTTCTTTAATCATTTTTGTTGCTCTTCTCCTCTCCAGTTTCTCCACATCTTTCTTGAAATGTGGTGCCCAGATCACTTACAGGAAGAAAGAATGAGTTTGCTCTACAGACTTAGCTGAGAGCCAGCTGGCTTTTAGCTTAAGTGGTAGAGACTCATGCACTAAGCTCCAGAAGTTTAGTTCTGCCTGTTTGCACTACATATCCACTAGAGAATTCTGCCTCTGAAACAAAGGTTATGTAAAGGTGTTTTGTGAGACAGAATGAAGATTTTCCTTACCTTAAACTTAACATATTGAACTTCTCATTGTTTAATCTTTGTAGAGGTTTTCATTTACCTTTAGTTTACACCATTTCCTTACATAGTCTATGCAAACATGCATTTTATTTTCTTAACTTCTTCATCTTGCCATTTCATTTCTGAAGACTAGCTTGGCTTGATGCAGAAACATCCAGGAGAACAAAGGAACTTATGGAACTCAGTAGAGAAGAAATGGAGAAAATACAAAAATTAAGGTAATTATCTAATTTAAATGTGTGATGCACAGAAGCAAATTTGATAGCAGATCTCTCATATGGCCTGTTTTCTTTGTGGTTTTATGTTCTTTTGTCACATCAGATTTTCACTAAAATGCATCCTCACTGTTTTGTTTTTGTTTAAATAGGTCAGAAGGTGCTTCTCCTACACAGCTGGCAGACAAGGTGGAGAAATCAGTTCGAGAGCGTTTGGAACCTCTCCTGGACAAAGCACAGGTAGTACAATCAAAGCCTGTGCTGACATTTGAAGAATCTCTTAAATTTTTAAAACATGTGTAATGGGGAAAGCAAATGGCAGGTCACATTAATTTGATTAGTGAAAAACGTGTCCAAAATTGTTTACCCAATCCAATTTTAGGCATTCATTTGCGGAGTATTTCCTTCTTATTATGGTTCTTACCTGTTGGAATAAATTTGCCGCATCTACAGTAAATTAATGTTTTTCCTGTTATCTTGTAACCAAGGAGATAAACTGGAACATGGTTTTGAATAATCCTAAGCATTCTGTGTTTAATATTACTGGTGTTGATCAGCGTATATTAGGAATTCATGTGATAGCTTTCCTTAATAAAAGAATGCATATGTGGTAATACAATATAAAAATATTTTATACATTAACATATTTCTTTTTCTTTAGAAGGTCAATCTTTCTTTAGAAACAAACACTCGTTTGAAGGATTCTTCATTTATAAACAAAGTGTCATCCCACGCTGCTCAGAAAGTATGTTCTGTTTGGATGTAATGAAGTAAAGTTGTTCAAATGCATGGTGATGTTTTCTCTTGTATATGACATGAAAAGAATAGAACAGTAGATTTGATTTCCTAAACTGTAGCTTATGCCAGTGGAAACTAAATAGAATGACTTTATTTCTCTTTGATTAGGATGTTGATAATACCAATGTTTTTGTCTGTTGAAGAGCTATCATTTTAAATATAATGTGAATTCATTAAACATGAATAAAAAAGATATTAGTAAATATTTTTGAATGAGCAAATATATTCTATAAGACCAATATGTATGTAGGCTAATCTGCTCTCTCTTTTTAGTATTTGATCCAAAATATTTCACAGTTTGAGGACAGGCTAGAAAAAAAATTGAGATAAAGAAAGATATAGCTAGGAAACTAGTGCTGTTAGGGCATAGTTATCCATTTAAACGGCCAAGCTAAGAAGATGTAATTGGTATTTTCTTGGCTCTAAACCCACACACACACACTTGTTTAACCTGATATTCCTGAGTAATTCCATGGGAATATTTATGTGAATAAAGTTAAACATGTCTGTAAGTGTTTGCATGATTAAATTTTAGTTCTAGTTCTATGGATTCCTTTGGGATCCCTGAATTTGGGGAATGACAGTATCCAACTATCCCTAAATGCGAAGCTCTATCTTTCAGCATGCTGAGCTCCCTCAACTCCAGATGGCTTAAGTGAGGACTTTTTAGATATAGTGTCCTGTACATGCTGATTAATGTTACTAGCTTGTTTTACTGTTGTATGAAAGAAAAGTATTAAGAAAGTATTTAGATTTGCATTAAAGGAAACAATAGACAGAAATGTCAGGCCATTTAGTAAAACTAATAACTGCTTTTGGAAATTTTAATAAGCAATACATTTGAACCAGTTTCCAAGGTATATACATGTGTATATATATGGTGTTTATTGTGGATTTTTTGTATCTGTAGGCTGCATCTAATGCCGATATACTGAGTGAGAAGTTATTGGATGATCTTTTGGAAGATACGGCTCAGGAACTCTGGAATATGGAACAACACAAGAAGATGCAAGCTATGGCTATAGGCATGCATGACAGTCCTAGTCTGGAGACAATGCTGCAAAGAATGGAAGAAATTGAAGTAAGCATGTGTCTAAGGGCAGATCTATACTAGGGGATAAATTCAAATTAAGATGCGCAACTCCAGCTATGTTAATTGGCGTCATCCCCACAGCAGGAGGTTGACGGGAGAAACTCTCCCGTAAACTTCCCTTACTCCTCCCGAGGAGTAGGAGTACTGGTGTCAATGGGGGCACTCTCTCTTTTCAATTTAGTGCGACATGCGCCAAAGTGTTGAACTGCTGATTCTGTATGTGACTATTTCCTTCTAAGTCAGTATTGGACTAGTGCTCAAGGAATAAGAGTAAGGAAAGGATAGTCCAGTGATTAGGGGGTTAGCTTTGAACTTAGAAGATGTGGGTTGCCTGATCCATCTTACGTCCTGTGTGTTGGTGCCTCAATTTCTTATCTGTACAATGAAGATGATAATACTTGAATAATTGTGAGGTGTCAGATACTACAGGTATAGGGGCCATCTAACAACATAAGAGAAAGTTCAAGAATGGTGTTACAGTTTCCTCAAGTGTCACCTTCAGAATGAGATGACTTGTTGAAGTCAATGGAACCACTGTTCTGAGTAAGTGCTTACTAGTGAGAGTAAGGAGATTGCAAGATGTAACATAGTGTGTAAGCTTAATTGTTATATTTCCAAGTTATGGTCCGTTTCATATAGCAAGACAGTGGAAACAAGACTGGAACTAGAAGCTACACAAAGCAGCGAGAGAAAAATATCTGTAAAAATAGCTACATTAAAAGTACAGCTACGTTACAACTAAAGATGAGGGGACCTACAGACTGGCCATAGGCCCTCATCCTGCAAAGACTTTTCAACTTGCTTAAATATATTGCTATGAGTAATCCCATTGATTTCAGTGGGATTATTAATGGCATTGAAGTTAAGCGTGTGCATAAATGTGTGTAGGATCTGAGCCATACAATGTACAAACTGCAATCAGTCTGCCATACTGGCTGTATGCTCTTTGAGATGTACTATTTTCACTTTAGTCAAGATATTTGTATAAAGATTTTTAATTCTGTCACTGTTGTATTTGAGAGATTAATATCATGATCAAAATGGGACATTGTTTGCTTCTCTGTCAGGTTAACGTCAGTACATTTGAACTGATTAAATATCCGATGATTAATTTTGTACATTTTTAAAAGAGATATCAAGAAGAGGTTCGCAGGAGATTTAATCGGATTGTCTATGCTGATGCAGAGTTCTGGGCACAGGAAGAGAAAAAGGGTATGTGTTGCCTTTTTTAATGCATCTTTTTTTCCCCTCCAGTTTGTAACCAAAATTAATAGATTAGATTTGATAATATTAATCAAATAGCACCCATTTGGACTTAAGTATGTTGCAAACATTATTTCAAAAGGAATGTTTACAAACTTTTGCTTTAAAAGTTAATATCTGGAAGCAGGGAGAGGCTCACTGAGAAGCTTGTAAGCTGAAGTATCAATGCTACAATTGGCTCGATTTGAATGGATCTGATTGAAGTCACTGAAGCAGCATTTGGATGTAAGGGTCTGCCTCTGTGATCCAGTTGCAAGACTAGGGCATGAGTCTTAAAAGGGAATGTTTGAAGTTCATTTAAGTGAAGCTTGGTTTCTTCTTTCTTTTTCTAGTTATTCTTTGACATATATATATATATAATTCTTAGTAGTACCGATATTCTTCCCCTTTTTTCCTCTCACTGTGGGTGAAACTTGCAATCTATCATGTAGAAAACTTTGGGAAATAGATTCCTCCAGTCCTCCCCAGCTTAGCAATAGCAATGACGATCTATAGGCTACAGTAGAATATGTTGCCTCAGGCCCTGGCTCTATTCCAGCCTAATTTGAACAAGAACAGAGCCCATATCTGCAGTTTGTAAAAGCTGCGGAGATAACCATTATGTGATGGCTTCTCCAAGCATTCTTTCCCAGCCCCACTCTCACAGGGTACTATTGTGCTAACATGGCATAGAAGATAGTAATTTACACTGTATTCTAGCATATATCAGTTAGGCTAGGTGGGCGGGGAGGAGGAGGCAGCAATGTGGGAATCAAGATAAGCTTGGTTAGCTAGCACTACTCCATTATGAATTTGTGATGATGACTTCATAAATGAGGTATTCTTTCTATTCTAAACCTTGGTTTTGACTCTCGTCTAATTTAGCAGAAACATACAAGGCCTAAAATATCTCCTGTGTAATCTCAAAGCAGAGAGAAAGTTGTGTTTATATGTTGGCTCTCAACTAGGGATGTAAGGGTATGTCTACATTACAAAGTTAATTCGAACTAACAGCCGTTAGTTAGAATTAACTTTAATAGCGGCTATACATACAAACCACTAGTTCGAATTTAATTCGAACTAGCGGAGCGCTTAATTCGAACTAGGTAAACCTCATTCTGTGAGGACTAACGCCTAGTTCGAATTAAGTAGTTCAAATTAAGGGCTGTGTAGCCACTTAATTCGAACTAGTTGGAGGCTAGCCCTCCCCAGCTTGCCCTGGTGGCCTCTCTGGGCCAAACCAGGGAAACTTTTCTGCCCCCCTCCCAACTCCGGAGTCCTTAAAGGGGCACTGTCTGGCTACAGTACTTGTGCCAGTTGCAAGCCTGCCAGCACCCAGCCAGCAGACTCTGCACCTGGCACGGCATGAGCCAGCCACCTGCTGCTACCCAGCCCTCTGCCTCTTCCCCGGACCAGGCTGGCGGCTCTCAGGTGGTCTAGTGCGGAGATCGTGGGACCTCATCGAGGTTTGGGGGGAGGCCTCCAACGTCCACGACCTCCGCACTAGCCACAGGAATGCGGCCGTCTAGGGCAGGATAGCTTCCAGCCTGGCCACCAAAGGCCACATAAAAACCCAGGAGCAGGTTTGCATGAAAATCAAGTTGGTCCAGTGAGACCCCCGACCCTGAGCTTAGAACATAAGAATGGCCGTATTGGGTCAGACCAAAGGTCCATCTAGCCCAGTAGCCTGTCTGCCGACAGTGGCCAGCACCAGGTACCCCGGAGGAGATGGACCGAAGACCAAGCGATTTGTTTCGTGCCATTCATCTCCAGCCTTCCATAAACAGAGGCCAGGGACACCGTTCCTACCCCATGGCTAATAGCACTCCATGGACCCAACCTCCATGAATTTATCTAACTTCTCTTTAAAGTCTGTTATAGTTCTAGCCTTCACAGCCTCCTGTGGCAAGGAGTTCCACAGGTTGACTATGTGCTGCATGAAGAAGAACTTTCTTTTATTAGTTTTAAACCTGCTCTCCATTCATTTCATTTGGTGTCCTCTAGTCCTCCTATTATGGGAAGTAAGGAAGAATTTTTCTTTATTCACCCTCTCCACACCACTCATGCATTTATAGACCTCTATCATATCCCCCCTCAGTCTCCTCTTTTCTAAGCTGATAAGTCCCAGTCACTTTAACCTCTCTTCATATGGGACCTGTTCCAAACCCCTGATCATTGTAGTTGCCCTTTTCTGAACCCTTTCCAAGGCCAAAATATCTTTTTTGAGGTGAGGCGACCACATCTGTTCACAGTACTGAAGATATGGCGTACCATAGTTTTATACTTCCCCTCCTCCCCCTGGCTTCTCCCTTCCAGCTCCCTCCTCCCTGGTTTCCCCCTCCCCTCTTCCACCTTCTCTCTTCTCCCTCTCCCACCTCCTTTTCCCAGTCTCCCCAGAGGTTAATTCCCCCCGTTTTGTTAAAGAGAGTTTCTATTTTTGAACACGCGCGTCCTTTATTTTTTACATCAGGAAGGGGGGCTAGGGAGGGGTAAGTGGAAGGAGGTGAGGGAGGAATGGGGCACGAGCTCCCGATGGGGAGGACTGGGGTGGCTCTGTGGGCTACTCGGGGTGGAAGCTCTCCTGTAGGGCCTCCTGGATCCTGACAGCCCCTCGATTGACCTCCCTGGATGGCAGCCTGCGGCAAGTGCAGCCGGACTTGTGGCCGAGTGCTGTGATGTGTCAAGTGTGGGCACTCAGGGCACTCCAAGCCAGGTCTGCTTTGCTGTCCCTCATCGAGGTAGACAAGCAAGCAGGGAACCCTGAGAACTGTCTGTCCGGGGTGGGGGTTGGGTCCCTTTAAGCACAGCCCTCGGCTAGCCTGAGGCAGCAGCTCCACGCTCTAAGTCCTAATCTGATGCCCTGCCAGCACTGGTTCCGGTCAGCCTTAACTTCGGTTCAGAGTCCACTCAGTGTGGACATGCTATTTCGAATTAGCAAAATGCTAATTCGAATTAGTTTTTAGGTCTAGATGCACTAATTAGAGTTATCTTCGTTCGAATTAACTAATTCCAATTAAGTTAGTTGGAATTAGTGCTGTAGTGTAGACATACCCTAAGAGAGTAGTCGAGTAATTGACTACTCACTTCCCCCCCTCCCTCCTGCAGGAGGAGGAGGGGGGATGGGAGGCTACTGGAAAGCAACCTCTGCCTGTGGCAGGGCCAGGGTCACGACCAGCCCCGGCTGCCGCAAACAGAGGCTGCTCCAGTAGCAGCTCCTGTTTGCAGTGGGGATCCCAGCTCCCCGCTGAGACATCCCCTCCTCGAACAGGGGCTGCTGGACCTGGAGCAAGCCCAGCTCTTACTACGTTTAAACTGCAGAGCCACAGTGAGGGTAGCTCCTGGATCAACCGTGAGCTGGGACTAAGGAAGCCTTCCCATGATGACTAATCATGTAGTCAATAAAATTTTATCATCTACACAATTAGTGGATTTACCCTCCTTTTAACATCCTTACTCTCAACATTTTTGTATAGTATATGACCTCATAAATGTAAATCTTGCAGGTTTTCCATTTGATCTGTCCAAAACTTAAAAGATAAGGATTTACTGACCACCTTCCACTTTATTTTCTGCTATATGTCTGCTGACTTCTGCATGCTTGTTTCTAGCCCATAACTTCTGTAGAAAGAGACTCGAGTCTTGATTTAAAGACTTCAGAGGATGAAGAATGAGAGTTCTCAGCAATCTTTTAATAGTGGTGTTTTCTGTAATCTTCCAAGAAGAAAACCTGTTAAATATTCCAGTTCTTGTTTTAGCTCAGACGTTCTTAGTTATACTCCAGAAGGAGCTAGTTTGCCTTCACAAAGAATGCTTAACTTCCTACTGAGTCAATCCTTGACTTCAGTCTTTCTGTAGTTTCAAACATCCAGGGGACGAATGAGATCCTGAGCCAGGCCATATACTATGCAACAAACTCTTTGAGTAGATGAACTTTATCTTGAGTGTCTCTGGAGCTACCCACTTTGTGAACACATACAGCCCCTGACTTTGATTTGGATTATTAAAGGCAGTGGGATTTTGACAGAGAAAGGAATTCACTTCTGAGAGAGCTGCACACAGACTACAGTTGTTTAGAGTGATTTGTAGAATAACAGTTGTCTTCATTCTCAGACTGAGCAATTACTAGAACTACTTCACTGAACTTCCTTTGACACATCTTGAAGACCCATCTGTTGCCGCTGTGATTGAAAAATCCATTTCAGAGCCTGTAAACCCACCTACACTTTAGAGAACAAAGCCAAAATTGGAGAGAGAGCGTATTTAGCATGGGTTTATTTGACCATGCATTCATTTGTGCTATTGCAAGGGAATCCAGCTCCCTTTCTATATCCTAACAATAATCCTTTTCACTCCACACCAGCAAATGTAAAACACTGCAAAACACTCTCACTAGATGTATCTAATGATTCTTCCCTAGAAAAGAACACATGAATATTTATTATCATATTGGCTTCTCTCTTCAATTTTTTTTTTAATAAATCAAGCAATTTAAATAGCACACATTCCATAGCTCTGTTAGATATATGTCATGTCCATACAGCAGTGAACAAGACAATCTGTTGGCTGTTGGCCTAGGACAGTGGTCTGTGGCTGTCTTCCATGTGGTCTGTGGCTTGAGCTCAGCTCCCCCTGCTTTCCACCCTCCCTCTTCCCACAGCAGGGAACCCATGCTGGCACTCCAGCCTCTCCTCCACCCCCACCTCCTGCGAGGCTGGAGCACCAGTGCTGGCTTCCCTCTGAAGTGTGGGGGAAAGCCCCAAGCATCCCCTCTGGATGCAGCTCATGGTGAAGAAGCAGAGCCAGAAGTGGCTTCGCACACTGCCACTCCCCCTCCTCTGGCTGGGGAAACAGCGGCGCATAGATGTGCTCCCTGGAGGCTTTCCCCACTGTTCCCATTGTCCAGAATCCAGCCAGTGGGAGCAGTGGGAGGTAGCACCTGGGACCATGCTGCTCCCAGGCATTGTGAGTGTGAAAGCAAGTAAGTGCCACCCTTCTCCTCATGCCTGGACCCTGCGCCCCCACGCTCCTCTTGTACCACCCCCCTCCAAGCCCCTGTACCTCCAGCTCGCTCCTGCACTCTCCCCCTTAACAGACTCTCTATCCCAAGCCTACTTCTGCACCCTTCCCCCTGGCCAGACACCCTCCCCCAAACTTGCTCCTGCACTCTCCCCCTTGGTCAGACACCCTTCCCTCAGCCTGCTCCTTCACCCTCCCTAGCTCCTGCACCCTCTCCCCTGTTCAGACACCCTACCCCAGCCCTTCTGTTGAACCTACCCTTGTTTCTGCACTCTCCCTCCTGGCCACACGTTGCACTTCCCCTTGCTGCTGTCACCTCCCCCCGGGCAGACACCCTACTCCCAGCCTTCTTCTGCAACTTACCTCCCGCCCAGACCTCATCCCCATACCCCTTCCTGCACCGCACCTCCTACACAGATCTTGCACCCCCATCTCTATCCCACTAACTGGCAGCTCTATCCTTCACACTGAATCCCTCATTTTTGTCCCCACCCTAGCGCTGTGAGGGGCGGAGGGGAAGAAATCCACTAACCCCAAAAGAGTAAATCTAACCCACGGGAAACCCTGAACCTCGGTCCTCTCTGTCCCTCTCGCTCCCCCCGTGGGGCTGGAACTCAGGAGAAGTGAGGTGTCTCCGTTGGGGGCCACATCAGTGAGGGTTGGAGGGGTTTTTATGCTTCTCACTTCTATGTTCCTCAACGGATTTTTTTGTGGGTCAGTGGCCCCCGATCCAAAAAAGGTTCCTCACCCCTCAATAAATAAAGAAAACATTGAAACTTTTGGTTGGACATAAATTAATATTTTACTTTATTTAAAGTGAATTTTGATAAACTAACATCAGAAAGTTAAAGCACCTAAACTCTTTTTAATAATTTAATATTTCCTTTCTTACTGGTTAAATTATACCGGTCTCCCTATCTGCAGCACTAGCAAAATGGCTCAGGCATAATTATGTAATTCACGGTGAGTTTCCATTAGCAACTGCTGGTCCACGGAAGAGTTTGCATTGATCTGAGTGGACTACGAGCCAAAAAGTTTGAGAACCACTGGTCTAGGATTTTTATCAGTGCAAAAAACACTGCTATATTAGTCATTAAGGGTATGTCTACACTACCCCGCTAGTTCGAACTAGCGGGGTAATGTAGGCATACCGCAATTGCAAATGAAGCCCAGGATTTGAATTTCCCGGGCTTCATTTGCATAAGCGGGGCGCCGCCATTTTTAAATCCCCGCTCGTTCGAACCCCGTGCCGCGCGGCTACACGCGGCACGAACTAGGTAGTTCGAACTAGGCTTCCTAGTTCAAACTACCTAGTTCGTGCCGCGTGTAGCCGCGCGGCACGGGGTTCGAACGAGCGGGGATTTAAAAATGGCGGCGCCCCGCTTATGCAAATGAAGCCCGGGAAATTCAATTCCCGGGCTTCATTTGCAATTGCGGTATGCCTACATTACCCCGCTAGTTCGAACTAGTGGGGTAGTGTAGACATACCCTCTGTGTAGAGGTTTTTTTCTCCCTCATTCTTTCATATAACTCAAATGATGGAAAAATTATTAAAGTGAAGGAGTTAGATTTGTTTGGGAAAAAGGTGAATTCTCAGTTCTTGTTCATAGATCTGTGGTTAGACCCTGAATCCTTGAATTGGTATGTTTTCTTTATCTCAGACAGTAGTGCCCCATATGCTTCCATCATGAGTTCTTCAACTTACTTTAAAAAAAAAATCTCCTCAAAGATTTTAATTCAGAATTCGCAAATGGTATCCTCTTTATTTCTTAGTAATAGAAAATAAAGACAAATCATGTAATTGCTTAGACTGTATTGTACAGTAAAGCCTCAGTTACAAATATTTCAGGAATGGAGGTTATTCCTAACTAAACAAAATGTTACTGTAGTTCTTTTAAAAGTTTACAACTTAATACGCTTTGAAATTGTATTGTGCCAAAGAAAAATGCTGCTTTCCCTTTATATATTTAGTAGTTTACATTTTACACAGTACTGTACTGTATTTGTTCTGGTTTTGGTCTCCGCTGCCTGATTACATATGTCCAGTTCTGAATAAGGTGTGTGGTTGATGGGTTAGTTTGTAACTCTGAGATTCAGCTGTAGCTCTTCATATCAGAAGAGCTTTTTAACTGGCTGAAGAGAGTACCTGAGAGATGTTAGTAGGGATGTGACGGACTAGTTGACTATCCGATAAACAAATGCTTATCAGATAGTCGACAGGATAGTTGACTAGTTACTTCCTCCCCTTGCTTCCTCTATCTGATAGAGGCAGCAGGAGTGGGTGAAAGAAGGTGTACTTCGAAGCGGCAGCACCACTTGAAGCCTGGGGCCAGACCCCAGGCTCTATGCGGTGCTGCCGCTTTGAAAAGCCACGTATAGAGTGGGGTCAGCTGGGGTGTCCCCAGGCTGATGCGGCATTTCAAAGCGGCAGCACTGCATGGAGCCTGGGATCACCTGGGGAATCCCCAGCTAACCCTGGACTCCAAGCGGTGCTGCCACTGTGAAATGCTGTGGGGAGCCCGGCATCGGGCTGCACACAGCTTTTCAAAGTGGCAGCACCACGGGGAGGCTGGGATCAGCTAGGGAATACCCAGCTGACCCCTGGCTCCGTGCAGTGCTATTGCTTTGAAATGCCGTGGGGGGCCTGGCGTCGGGCTGCATGTGGTGTTTCAAAATGGCAGTGCCCCGGGGAGCCCAGGATCAGCTGGGGACTGCTGACCCCAGGTTGTATATGGTGCTGCCACTTTGAGACATCGCACAGAGCCCTGGGGTCAGCGAGGGAGTCCCCAGCTGGCCCCAGGCTCCATGCAGTGCTTTCGCCTTTGAAGTGTAGCAACTGCCTTCAAAGGTGAAGGTGCCCTATCAACTAATCGAATAGTCGATGCAAAATACATTGACTAATCAGTTAATCAGTTACCTGATACTTAACATCCTTAGATGTTAGCAGGCAGCTGTTTCCTAATGACATTCAGTTTTCTACAAAACACTCTTCCTGATTGTAGCCCTAGTTGCCTCTGCCAAGTAGAAATAGGGAGGAATTTGGCCTGTGATTTCTCTGTCCACGTTAGTCTCAATATAGGGCCAGTTCTTCAGCTGGTGTAAATCTGTGGAGCTAGACCAATTGTTACCAGCTAAGCAACTGACCTTATGGGGGTTGATCCTGCAGCAGTGAAAACAATGGGAGATTTGCCATTGAATTTTCTGGGAGGAGGATCAGACTCATAGTGACTTCATAAGAGCTATGCCATTGTACACTAGATAATGATCTGGGCCCAATTGTTATTTTAGTTTTTATTTCCCCTTCCCATTTACTGCCAATCTCAATATATTGGTTGCCATAGTAATGTAATGTTTCCTCTCACCTCTTTAGAAATACCCGATGAGATAACAGAGTACTTGTACTGAAAATGAAATATTCCAAAGTGTTCATATTTGAAACATTTGGTTCTTTAGAAAGTACCACCTAAAATTTATAGCTTAAAAAGGCTCATCACTGGTAATATTTTTCTTCCTTTCTCTAAAGGGCTTACCTTTGGATGGGAGCTAAGCTTAGTGTGAGGACTTCCCTACATTGTTGGATTTTCTCTCCCAAAGAAACTTTTAAAATTTTCTTTTCTTCCTTCTAGAAAGAGAAAGCGCATCAATAGAGCAAAGGCCTATGTCTCCTCACCCAATCCAGATAACCAGATTGATAGGACACAAAGAGCCAGAAGTGGATATTGTATTTGAAAGACCTTTTGATGGAAAGTGAGTAAACTAAAAGTGGTTGTAAACTACAATGCTCATGTGCTTTTACTGTGGATATTTAATATGTTTTCCACTAAGAGTAAATGCAGTAGTGATGCTTATTTCATCAGGTTTGTGGCTTTAGGTCATGTGGAAAAGGACATTAAAACCACAAAATTCTGGTTCTTCTTTCCCGATTGGTATGCAGCTTGAAGCCCTTGCAGATCTTACAGGCCTCAGACAAGTGGGCCTCTCCCAGGTACTTAAGACAAGCTGCGTGAGGGTCCCCGCAGGGCATAAGCTTCTGGCATTTCTGCGTGGAGATGCCAGCCCAGCAGGGGTCTTTCCAGAGTCCTCCATTCTGGATACCTTTGAGATAGCAAGAGAGTTAACTGAGCTGACTCCTTCCCTGACCCACTTGCTGGTCCACAGGGTGCTCCTGCAGGTTCAGGAATTCAGGGCGTCCTTGATCCTCATTTTTCTGGCCCAGGCAACACTGGTTCACATCTGTCCTGCAAGAGGAGTCTGTCCTGCAAGAGACCAATCCCCCTCCCATTGGTTCCAGATCTCATCACGCAGCTCTTCGGCAGGCTTCACCATCCAATCCTGCGGTCCCTGCACCTAATGGCATGGAAGCTCCATGGCTGACATGGGGATATGATAGAGGTCTATAAAATCATGATTGATGTGGAGAAAGTGAATAAGGAAAAGTTATTTACTTGTTCCCATAATATAAGAACCACGGGTCACCAAATGAAATTAATAGGTAGAAGGTTTAAAACAATCAAAAGGAAGTTTTTTTTCGTGCAGTGCATAGTCAACCTGTGGAACTCCTTGCCAGAGGAGATTGTAAAGACCAGGACTTTAACTGGGTTCAAACAACAATTAGATAAATTAATGGAGGAGAAGTCCATCAATACTTATTAGCCAGGACGAGTAGGACTGGTGTCCCTAGCCTCTTTTTTTCAGAGGCTGGAAATGAGTGACGGAGAGGGATCACTTGATGATTACCGGTTCTATTCAGTCCCTCTGGGGCACCTGGCATTGGCCACTGTTGGAAGACAGGATACTAGGCTAGATGGACTTTTGGACTGACCCAGTATGGCTGTTCTTATGTTCTTAATGTTTTGTGCTTCCAGTGCTATTGATGAAGATAGGGAGGTGGAAGAGAAATTGGAGACTGGAAATGATGTTCGGCAACCTTTGAATCGCAATATATCTCAGCAAAAGGAGTGCTACATTTCTCTCTCTGTTCCAAAGCACATGCTCCAGAACATCCTTGATTATAATAATAGATATGAGCAGCACCTGAAACTTATTTCTCATGAGCCAGTAGGGCACTTCAATCCATGGTGCATTGCTGAGGGGTACGTGAATCATTGATGTGTTTGATTTTGTAAAGTAAATGTGCCAGTTCCAGATCTGTCTTTCTGCTCTTACTTACACACACCGAGGGTAATTGGGCTGTTCAAATTCTAAATTGAAAGCCAGAAAACTAAAGACAGTAGTTACTGTGTTGTTTTTCAATGATCCTTGATGCTTGTGGACCTTTAAAGTGTTCATGTAAAACTAACAGGCTACGTCTACACTGGCCCCTTTTTCGAAAGGGGCATGCTAATTTTCAACTTCAGAATAGGGAAATCCGCGGGGGATTTAAATATCCCCCACGGGATTTATATAAAGATGTCCGCCGCTTTTTTCCGGCTTGGGGAAAAGCCGGAAAAAAGCGTCTAGACTGGCCCGATCCTCCGGAATAAAGCCCTATTCCGGAGGATCTCTTATTCCTACTTTGAAGTAGGAATTTCCGGCTTTTCCCCAAGCCGGAAAAAAGCGGCGGACATCTTTATTTAAATGCCGCGGGGGATATTTAAATCCCCCGCGGATTTCCCTATTCTGAACTTGAAAATTAGCATGCCCCTTTCGGAAAAGGGGCCAGTGTAGACGTAGCCACAGGGTGTGATAGCAGAATATCTTGGAAGAGCAATTATTTTTCATGTCTCACAGCAGTACCGTAGAGTTATCTGTGTGAAATATAGATTGGTTTAGACTATCTAGAGGAGAGTCAAAGCCAGAGGAGTGTGTAATTTTCAGTTTCCACTTCATGTAATTTTGTGAAAATCTGCCCTTAATGCTGTAAAAATTGTTTGGAAATTTACACCTTCTGCTTTCCATATCCACTTCTGTCTTTAGCAAATCCCAGTGGTAAGGCTGGAAAATCTGTCCAGAGAGATTCATCTGAGAGTATTTAACAACATTATTGGCTTTTGCCATTTAATTAAAAAGCAAACATTGCCCTTCTATCTGTAAAACAACCAGACCAACATGGGCAGAAGGAAGGAACAAGCTTTTTATCAATTTATTAAAAGTAGCACAGAACACATTGGCAACCTTTAATTTTCTCAGTGGAGGGCCTGGATGTTGCAGGTTTTGGAATAACAATAGAAATACTTACAATAAGGCCAGCTGCCATTTTAAACAGGAGATTTGAAAAAGGAAATATTTTATAGAGTACGTTGCTAGGTATGTAAATAGTATATAGCATAGCTGGGTCACCAGTCAGTCCTCTGCAATGCAAACAAAAGAGGTAAAATAATAAATGTCTATTTGCTGCTCATTCCTTAGCAAAGAAAAAATGTTTATTCATTCTCTCCAAGTCTGCTAAACTGAGAACAGAGGTAGAGGCTGAAAGGTTACAGTATAAATAAAAAATAGCCGCCCATTGTAACAAGCCTTTTTGGTTTGCTAAGGGTATTGGTGCAGCAGTAAACAAAGTTCTCTGTTATCATTTCCCAAGCATGCCTCAGTGAGTATCCAGTATAAAGTTGTGCCATTTATTTATTTTCAGTACATGTGAATGGTGTCATTCAAAAATCAACTGCCTGTAAGTCTTGGCACATGATTAAGGCACCACCCCAACAAAGCACATGCAATTAATTTTCTAAACGTGTGTAGTCTCTATGGCCTTGATCCTACAAATGCTTAAGCAAATACATATGTTATGATCTTGACTAGTCCCACTGAAATCAGTGCATTTGCTGTAGTAAAATGTAAGCATCAACAACAGTATCTGCCGGATCAGGGTCTTTGATTTTAATAGGACCGCTCATGTGCTCAGAGTTCAGATGTGCTTCTCTGGAGTGGGATCTATGTGAGTAAGAGTTGTGTGACTTTGGGCAGATCACTATAACCTAAGGCAGGTTAGAATGCACCCCTGAAACACCCCTGGTCATGTTTCAACACTCTCCTTATAAACTCCAGGGCTGTATCTACATTGGCATGATTTTGCACAAGAACTCTTTTGCGGAAGAGTTCTTGTGCAAAAACTCTTCCAGAAGAGAGCATCTACACTGGCATGTGCCTTTGCGCAAGAGCATCCGTGCCAGTGTAGACGCTCTCTTGCACAAGAAAGCTCTGATGGCCATTTTAACCATAGGGCTTTCTTGCACAAGAAATTCATGTTGCCTTTCTACACTGGCCTCTTGCGCAAGAACAGTTGTGCAAGAGGGCTTATTCCTGAGCGGGAGCATCATAGTTCTTGTGCAAGAAGCACTGATTTCACACATTAGAACGTCAATGTTCTTGCACAAGAACTCGTGGCTAGTGTAGACAGGCAGCAAGTTTTTGCGCAAAAGCGGCCATTTTTGCACAAGATTGCACCAGTGTAGACACAGCCCAGTAGTGTTCATAATTGGCATTAGTGTGAACCTCAGTAGCTCAAAGACAGTGGTCCCTCCTCATGATTGACAAAATTAAAATGAGTCCTTCCTTCTTGCAGCTGAATTTCAGCTTCGCTTATGTATATATTGTACATATTATTTGATATCAAACTAAAAATGCAATCCAGTTCATAATACTGTTTGGTGAATGTTTTACCATCAGAGGGCACTATAAATCTTGTCAACCATTAGATGCATTAGTAAACATTTTGAGGAAACCACTTCACTCTGTATTAAAGACACAGGAAAATTAATTTTCCTGGTATTGGTGAAGTAAATGTAAGACTGAGAAGGAGAAATTGTAAACAGTGCAGCAAAGAACTGAATTGCTCAAATGCTGAAACAGTATGTAGTTTTATCTTGACCTGAGTTAAAAGCTCTGATCCCACCACTTCCCTGTAAACATCCAGGCTTTCAGAAGGACCTGAACCAATGAGCATTCAGATCAGTGAGAGTCTCTCCATAGACCTCAGTGGGTTTTGCATCAGATCTTTAATATGTTCAGTCTCTCTGTAGAAAGCAGAATGTTTGCATCTTAATATTTTTTAAAAGGTGAAGAATGTACCAGTTAGCAGGTTGGTCACATTCACCAGGCCTCCCTGGTTATCTCTTTTATCAGAAAGCTGATTGATGCAAACATTTCCAATTCTCCATGAAACTTAGAAGTAAACAGGATGGTTCTGTAGTACAGGTTTTTTCCCATGGTAAATATATATAGCCAGCATTGCTCTGGTGTTTAATTCAAATAAGTATTGTTTTTCTTAATTTAAATCCTTGTTCTGGGGTGAGGCTGGGAATGAGGAGTTCAATATGCAACCTGCTGTTGGGGAGAGAGGACAACCTCAGCCCTCTTTTACTGTAGCATTTTGGGGCCAGATGAGAAAGAAGTACCTCTCTATGGCCACTGCAGCTGCTGTGGGCACAGCTACGGGACTGATACACAGACAAACAGACAAACTCTCTGAAATATAAAGTAGACAAGTCTCCCTTTCTCCACTCCTGTCACCTGCTGGCCCAGGGGGGTTATAACTATTCTAGCACCATGGGGGTGGGACAGGCAGGTGGCTCAGCAGAATCAGGTGCTCGTGGGGAGCAGTCTCCAGAGGCACCATGGAACAGGAGGGCATGTAGTCTATAGGATTAACTAATAGGCCAAGGTTTATAGGTTAAGCATTTACCCCAGTGGTTCCCAACTGCCGGTCCATGGACCGGTGCCTGTTCACAAACTGCTAGCTGTCAGGGCTCAAGCCGCAGCAGCTCAGCTCAGGCATCTGTAGAGGCACCACCCTTCCTCCTACCCCTCAGGGAGATGTGCTTGGAGAGGGAGGGGGCGCGCCACCAATGCCAGTGGCAGCGTTGGGACTGAGGCAGTGGCAGAAGGAGGCGGAGCAAAAGGTCTGTCCCCTCCGTCTTCCTTGGTAATGGTGGCTGTACAGGGCTTCACGCTCCCCCTCCTTCTACCCATGGGGTGCAGGAAGTGCTTGGGGAGGGAAGGGGTGCAAAGGAGGTGGGAGTGTGCATGCTGCCAATGGCTGCTCCCCCTGCCCATGTTGTAGTAAACAGCCATGCTCCCTACGTGGGGCAGCCTTACTCTGGAGAGTTCAGGGGTGGGGTGGGGGCAGAAGGGTGTTGGATGAGGTCTGGTGGGGTCACGGGGTAAGAGCGTGTTGGCATGGGTTGTAGGGGTCAGAGGTTAAAGGGTAAAAGGGCACAGGTCAGAGTAAGGTTCAAATGGTATTAGGCATTGGGGAGCAAAGGACTGGGATGGGGCTTGGTGGACAGGCATCATTTTATTTGCATATTTGTATATTCATTATTTGCATACTGAATATGCAAATAAAATGTTACCAGTCTGCCAAGTTTGTGAATGGATTTGCCAGTTCGTGGCATAAAAAAGGTTGGGAACCACTGATTTACATGACAATATGCAAACATCCTTAATTATTATAGAATAATAATTTCTCTTTTGAGGTCAGAGCATTGGATGAAATGACTGGTGCATATTTGGGTTTATTTCTACAAACCCCAGGATTCTCTCTTTGGCTTTTAAACTTTCTTTTCTCTCCTTTAGCCTTGCAGAAGAACTGACAGAAGAAGCCTTATGTGATGTGGCAGCAGAGCTGCAGGATTTATGTGAGGATTATGCAGAAGCTGTGTTCACCTCTGAGTTCTTGCAGCCCACAGAGTAAACGCTTTTAAGTCTATGCCATCAGCTAATGGAATGTCAAATCCCAGCCTACCCAGCATACTGTGTGCTTAGGCGTTTTTTACAGTATCTTTGTTCTTACTGAGCATATGGAAGAATCTGCTAATGTATGAATGAAATTCAGAAGGGATTCATCTTGTGTTTTTCAAAATTTTAATAAAGATTTTTTCCTTTTCAGATTTCAGTATAATAAAGGTTCTGAAAAAGGTGCTGACTATAATAAAACTAAACACTTAACAGCAAAGTTTACATAGGTGTAGAGCCAATCCCCTATATCTATGACTAGTTTTTCTCGTGTGATCTAGTGGTAATGAGCAAAGTACTGGGAAGTGAGAGTGCTGAGTTTTATCCCCAGCTGTGCTACTGATTTGGGAAATCACTTAACCACTCCCTGTCTTCCTTTCCTCCTTTGTAATGCTCCTTACTTATCTCACAAGGGTGTTGTGGGACTTAATCAATGCATTATTATTCATAAAGCACTTAGCGCTCTGAAAGGTGTGCTGGAAATACAAAGTATTATTATTTCATAGGCCTCTAAAGCCCAATTTGAAAATGCTGATGCAAACAAGAAATGCTTTTTGATTTGCTATCAGTGTGCCCAGTGTCTCACAAGAAAGATGCTGTTTATTTTGTCTGACCAACTACATTAAAACTTCACAATTTTATTATCTGGTTTTTGGATGGAATGCAAGAATCCAAAGGAGTGATCCTGACATCGCAGCATTAAGTGGGTATTTTGAACAATAGCTAGAGGGGGCTTGGTGTATTTGTGGGGAAGATTGTGTTACTATACTCTTGCAGCTATCTTAGGGTTCTAACATTGTTTTCTCAATACTTTTAAAGTACTACGCATATCTGCATTAATATTTAACAGGCAATACAAACAAGCCTCTCCTCCCCCCCACCCCCGATGTTTTAGAAAATAGGTTATCAGCACCATTTTTTTTTCCCCCTTACAAAAAATACTAACCTTAAACAATACAGTTCTTCCAGCACTAGCTCCATTTAAAGAACCAACCCTGCATGTTTTACTCACTTAGTCTATGTCTACACTACAGGGTTATTTTGAAATAACACCTGAAGTAACTGTTTTGAAATAGCATATTCACATTGCAGGGAAGCCTTGAAATTAGTCTGAGGCAGACTCCCTTAATGTGGACATGCTACTTCAGGAAGCACTGGGAACAAATTAGTTTGAATGACTCTGGGGAGTAGTTATTTTGAAATAGCAGCAGCTGAACATCCACACTAACCATATTTTGAAATAGCAGTTTTGTAAATTCAGGGTTTATTATTTCAAAATAACAAGCCCATTATCTTGAAATAATTTCAAAATAACGTGCTTGCTGTGTGGCTGCTCATCTTATTTCACAATAACAGGGATTATTTTGAAATAACTCTGTAGTGTAGACATGCCCTTACTGACTTTAATAGGCATTTTAAGAGTTCTAGGTGAGCAAGGAATGCAGGATTCAATCCAAAAAATATGACATCAAACCATCTTGGGTATTCCAGCTTCTTCCTTCTCATATTGTTCTCAGTGTTGTGTGGGTATGGTAGGTACTTGAATACTTGGACTCAGTAGCAGGTTAGGAATGGAATGTGAGACTTGTAAAATTCCCTTCCTTGTATTGATTTGTGTTAGGACACTATTGCACAGAATTGTGTCTTATCCCCATATTTTTATTGCAAAATAAAAAATAAATAGAATAATCTATATTCCTGGTTCTTTTATATTGGGCTCATTTGTTAGTTTCAAATAATCAATGTCCTATCTTGAGTTTTGGTAATATATGTCTGGGAAGACAAATGATAAACAAGAAAAAAGGATATATGAGAAAATATATGGGCCAAAACATGGGACCGCTTCCTAAATTCATCTGTAAAAAGAAATGTGAAGTGCTATTTACTGTGATAAATTTCTTTTGTGCAATAATGTTTAACCCATTGTAGCATAATTTCCAATATATTGAAATTTTTATTTTCTGTGTGTGTGAAAATACATTTTTGTAAAAACAAAACCCCTAAACCTTTTTTTTATTAAAGTCTGGAATTTTCAGTCTTATCTGTTTTGATAACATTTATTTGTATCAATGTAATTTTTATTTGGTGGATTCTGTGCAGATTTGTAATTTAAAACAAAATACATCAAACTGGTACCTTTTTTCAAAATGTATAGAGCAATTTATATGTGCAACCCTGTTTTCAACTATTTGTATTGTTTTCAAATAAACTATATTGATTTTCAGGATTTTTAAATTTAGAACAATTTGGATCTAAATCCCAGGGCTTGATAAGGTGTGGGAGTGCAGGAGTCTGGGCAGGTGGTTGAGTGCGTGAGGGGGATTTGCCAGGGTGTGTGTGCAAGAGTGGGGGCAGGCCCTTGTTCCTGAGACCCCACCCCTTCAGGAGCAAACAAGCCCTGTCCAACCCCAGCCTAAAGCTCAATACTTCCTGGAGAGCCAGGCTGCCATGCCACAGCCCCAGACCTCCTGGGTAGCCGGGGAGCTGGGCTACTATGCCACGACCCCAACCCTCCTTGGTGGCGGGGCTGCTGTGCTGCAACCCCAGCCCTTCCAGGTGGCCAAGAAGCACAGGCAGTTTCCCTTGCCTATGTTACCTGCTGCCTATGCACAGATTGTATATTTAATCCAATGAGACTTTCATTGAGCTCCACTCATGGGAGGGATGTATGCCAGTGCCAGAGTGCTGCCTCCAAGCTAGGCCCTATACAGGAATATGGCCTTGAAAGATAGCATTCCCCTGCCTTTTCTAGAACAAGGGCTGTTATGCTCCATATGATTTTTGTTTGCATGGTTCCTTGCATACCAACCACATCGATTCGAGAGGCCCTTCTGAGAAACACAATATAAGTGCCTCCGCCCATAGCCACTCTGCATGAGGAAATCCCATTGATGTAGGTGGGTCCTAAATGGACAACATAAAGGTCCCATTCCTGCAAAGACTTACGTATGTGCTTAACTTTATACATGGGGGCTGTGTCTACATTGGCATCCCTTTCCGGAAAAGGGATGCTAATGAGACACTTCAGAATTGCAAATCCGCGGGGGATTTAAATATCCCCCGCGGCATTTGCATTTACATGGCTGCCGCTTTTTTCCGGCTCGGGGTTTTTTGCCGGAGAAAAGCTCCAGTGTAGACGTGATTCTCTGGAAAATAAGCCCTTTTCCGGAGGATCTCTTATTCCTACTTTCAAGAGATCCCCTACTTTCAAGTAGGAATAAGGGATCCTCCGGAAAAGGGCTTATTTTCCGGAGAATCGCGTCTACACTGGCGCTTTTCTCCGGCAAAAACCCCGAGCCGGAAAAAAGCGGCAGCCATGTAAATGAAAATGCCGCGGGGGATATTTAAATCCCCCGCGGATTTGCAATTCCGAAGTGTCTCATTAGCATCCCTTTTCCGGAAAGGGATGCCAATGTAGACACAGCCGGGGAGTAGCCCTATTGGTGTCCAAGCGAATACACAGGCTACCTTTAAAGTTAAGCATGTGCATAAATATTTGCAGGGGCAGGGCTAGAAGAATGCAGGCAAAAGCCAGTGGAAGAGCAGTGGTGTTCAGGGGGTGTCTGAAAGGTTCCATTTTAAAATGTATGTACCAGCACAGATCTCCCCCCATGTTGAGAGTTAATGAAACTGCTTTTTGTGTGTGTCAGAAACCCTCAGACTGCTGAAGAGTGAAGCAAAGAGGTCTAAAGGTAAGGGATTCCCACTGCCCGCCCTGAAGCAAGGAGGCCTCTATGGTAGATGGCTGGGACTCTGGACTTAGTGGAAAGCCTACAAAACCTGAGGTGACAGGAGGAAAACCTTGGAACTGCCTGAAAATGAGTCATCCAGGAGCTGAGAGACTTGATGTGAGGAGCCTGAAGTAAGAGGCGATGGAACAACACTGAAGTGGGGAGTCTGTCAGAGTAAGAAATATCTGAGGTAGTATTGACTGGTCTATGTTGCGGGGATCCCGGGGAAAGACCCTGCAGGACCCTGAGGGCCCCAAGTCAATGTGACTGTGGTTGGTGATTTACCTGTTTTGGATGTAGGAGTTTGATAATCTGAAGGGGGAGCCATAGTGTGTGACCTGCCCAGAGGGCTACGTTGTCAGAAGAGGAAGGGAACTCCCGGAAGTCAGATAGAAAAGCTGCTTACCCCTAGATGGGAGGAGGCACTCTAACCAATGGGATACCCCTTGACATATATTGAATATGTAGTCCTCCTGCAACCACCTAGTAACTGAGGTTTGCAGGTATGTCAGAGCAATGGGCACCTTAGAGGAGTGACTCAAAGGGAGAGTGATAGAAATGTAGCCGTGCTAGTCTGGGGTAGCTGAAGCAAAATGCAGGACAATGTAGCACTTTAAACAAGATGGTTTATTAGGTGATGAGCTTTCGTGGGCCAGACCCACTTCCTCAGATCAAATAGTGGAAGAAAATAGTCACAACCATATATACCAAAGGATACAATTTAAAAAAATGAACACACATGAAAAGGACAAATCACATTTCAGAACAGGAGGGGGGGGCGGGG